ATTTGATAAAAAATAAATTTATTATTATTTTTTATTAAAAATTAATAGATTTAAATTATATTAACAAAAAAATGTGAAATAGAAATTATAAAGGATATTTAGTAATTTGAATTTAAAATATTACTAAGCTAAATTAAAATTTGTTTTCATTAGAAGATTAACTAATATATTATTTATTTATTCCAAATATTATAAATATTAGATTTTAAGACAGGGTTTTTAAAAAATAAAGTCTTTTTCTAAGAAGACTCGCTTATCCTTTTATTATCTAAAATATTTTACTGCCTTATTTTTTCTAATAACACACCTTAAATAATGAAAATTTTAAGTGAAAGAAAATTTTTTAATATGTGACATGGAAATTTTAATTTTTATTTTATTTTAAAATCATAATTTTCCCTAAAATTTTTATGGATATAATTTTCATTTATACTTTAGCTTAGTTTTTGGCATTAAAATTAAGATTTTTTACAAAATTTCATTTCTAAAAAATTAATTTAAAATATAGAGAATAATTAAATTACCTTAATTCAATTTTTATCTTTTAGAAATTTTAAATTTTGTGAAGTTCTTATAATGAGTTAATTTAAATATTGTTGTCTTAAGCTAGTAAAATACTTTAAGCTACTTCAGTCGTAGTATTTTAAATAATTGTATCCATCTTTGATTCTTCTTGTTAAATCTAATTTATTTAACTATTTTCTTAGGCCTATGAATTTTGTGAAACCTGCAATATATTCCTACTTTCTTAAGCAATTGAAAAATCGTTAATTTAATTGATAAGCTGAATAATTTAATCCTTTATTTAATTTTAAGATACCAAATCTACTTTATAACTTTAAAGTGTTTTAAGAGAATTAAGAATTTATTTATGATAAACTTCTTGTTTTTCAAGGTTTTCTTTTATAATTTGAGAAAATGCTTAATTTTAATTGAGAAAATCTTGGTATTAATTGAGTATGATATCTTTAAGTTTTTCTTTTTAGGAAATTCTATCGTATAAATCCAAAGGATATTCAAAGTTATTCAATCCCATTTCAATATTTATTAATGAATCTTTTTCTTTCTTGTCAATCAGTAAATTAATTTCATGTCTTAAAAGCTTGTAGAAATTATGAACATCTTGAATGCTCTAATTTATTAGTTATTCTTTTTAAGGTATTAGCATTAGCTAATCATAGATCTAAGAGTCATCTAATATGGGCCATCCTTTAAATATGGTTGATATATTACTATCAAGTACTTATTTCAGAGGAATAAATTTAAAATTTTGTCCAAAAAGACAATATATGCACTTGAGCATTTGTTCGTTGTTTGAGTAATTATCTGTTTTCAAGATATCCAACCTTTGGTTATGAATTTTACATTTTTAGTTATAATTTTAGATGATAAATAATTCATTTTAATTATTATCTAAAATTTAGCTATTTTAAATCTGATCCATTTTATTTTTTCTTAAAAACTGCTTTTTCTTTCTTTTCTTCAAAAATATATTTTTTTATTCAAGATAAATATAAGACAAAGCTTTTTTATATTTAAAAAAAGGAAATGAAATCTTAGATATATTAACTATTATATAATTTTAGCTCTAAAAAAATGACACTTAATTACCTTAAAAAATTTTAAGATTAGGAAACTATCATATGATATTTTAAATAAATTTAGAATTGTAAAATCATTTTAAATTTTATTCGTTCTTGTATCGCAAATTCAGGCTTTAAATATTGTGTATAATTAATGTAAGCAAATATTAAATAAATTAATTTACTAAAGTAATTTTACCTTCAATAAAAAAATTTTTCAAAAAACCATTTTTTTTATCAACTAACTGGCCTAATTAATGAGAATGTACTCTCTATATATTATTGAAAAGAAAATTTACTAATTTTAAGTAATTCAAAATAAAAATACAACGAATAATACGCTTATATAAAAAGTATTTAATATTTAAGGAGAGAAAACCTTATATTAATATTTTTAATATTATAAATGTTAATATTTTTTTTGAGTAATTAATAATTTAAATTCATAGTAGAATACATAATTAAAAAGTAGCTAGCACAAATCCTTAATTATTATTGTTTTATGAAGCAGCTATTGAGCTTTAGACCATATAATAATTTATTGCACAAGAGTTGCACACAGATTGATCAACTATTTAAGCACCAGAACTAAGAGTTCCATTAGGGCACGGTAGGCAATATGCAAAATTTGGAGTAGGAGATTCAGAGGAAGGATTTGTCATATAATAATTTTGTAAGCAAATACTACAACTAGAAATTTAAAAATTATATATATTTGCTTGATTATTCCCTGATCCTTGTGGGCATTAAATGCAAATAGGTACTTAATTCATATAAATATGAAATTAACTATTTTTTTCATTGTAATAAAAGTTTGGTAAACAAATATCACAACTTAACCTATCAAAAAATAAATAATATGCATTTTATGGCTATGAAGAAGTAGAATTAGTTTAGCAATCTTAACACTATAGAGTAAATGGATCAATAAAATAGCTTTAATTGCAAATACATTACTAGTATAGAGTAGATAAAGAAGAGTTTTAAGGACATTGCTACTAAGTTAAAACTCGAGTAATTATAATTTAGAATATAATTGCTGTATAGATAGTAATCATTACTATCTAATATTTTAAATTATTTTAGTTATTACTTTTATTTGATTGTTTATGCAATTACTTGTACTATTATTAAAAAATTCATTAAATTATGAGCTTATTTGAAATGAGAAATTTAAATATAATGGTAATTAATTAATTAATAAGTTATTTTATTAAGATATTCATGATTTAAAAATAACATAAGCATATACATACATATCTAATTATATCACATTTAAAAATCTAATCTACTTTGAAAAAAATTATATTTTTAGTTTATGTTTTTTTTCTTCTCATAAATGTTTTGCTATTTATTTCATACTAGTATTAGGTAAATCAAAGAACTAAAAATATTGATTAAATATGAATATATATTATAAAGATAATTTGAATTTTTAATCAAAAAGAAGAATTAAAATAAAATGAATAATAAGTAGATAAATAAATAAATTAAAATAAATTTATACATATTTATAATTAAATTGTATATTGAAAAACAATTTCTAAAAATAATTCTTATACTTAAATCCCACACCTTTTTTACAAGCCCTGCCCTTTAATACTTAAAATATTATTAATTAATAATATATTTGAAAGAGAAGCGCGAGAGGAAACAAATTTAGAATATTTATAAAACTATTCATTTTTTATTTTGTGTAATAAATATTTAATTCATTTAAAATTTTTCAATGTATTTTTTATAGTTTTTAATTTATTAATTTTATTTTTAATCAATCAATCAATTTTAAAGTTGAGTTTTATAAATTATTATTACTGCTATTTTCATTATTTCCATCTTTTTTTTGGTTTTCTGCTTTTGGTTAGTTATCTTCATTTATTAAAAATATTATTTGTAAAAATAATAAAATTTAATTGTTATTTTACATATAAAATCATTTTTTTGATCTAGCTTATCTTTGATGGTTTTATCTCTCTTTGGAATTCCTACTTAAGGCATATCATCTTGAATTAAATTAAAAATATGCATAAGTAATGATAAATAATACTAAATTTATTACCTGCAGAGGTATATATCTGTATGCTATCTGGTTGATATATTATTTCTTCTCTAATAGGTTTCAAGTGCAGAGGAGGAATATAGTACTCAGATTCGTAATCAAATTATTACTTATTAAAATTAAAATGCTCCTTACTTGTTTACACATTAATATAACAAAAGCAATTATGACTTAAATATTTAAGTCCATTTTAAAATAAAGAGTGTGCTTTCATTTCTTTCGGATAGAACGGTATTCTGTATTTTCCTGGTAGAAAATTTCCTTTTATATCGAATAAGTCTAAAAGAGACCACCCATATTTGATTAAATTTTAGTCTGACTCATCCCATATCCACAAATCTAAATAGAGTACAACATTTTCTTATAAAATCATACCTTGAATGACATGTTGTTCATTTATTACAGCTATTTGTCTGTCAGGTGTATTATCCTATTTATTAATTTTTATTTTAATTATCCTTTCATTTACAAGTCTATTTGTTCATTTTTTAATTTATTTTAATTCCAACTAAAATAAAAATATTTAATTCTAAAAAATAGTTTTCAATATTATCAGATAAAATTTAATTAATTACTAAATAATTTTAATTATGAGCATAATAATCTGAAGTAGTTCTATATGTAAAAAACGTGCTTTCTCTTTTGAAGATACCATAATTGATTTTTACTCTTTTAACATAGCTAGGAATAAATTTAATAAAATCCCAGTTAATATGAAAACCATTTATTTGCTCGTTAGAACCAGTTCCTATATCTGCTTGAGGTTTGAAAGGATTCTTTTATTTTTATAAATTAAATTTATTAAGAGTTTTGTTTCTATTTACTTGTTAAATATTACCAGTAATATATTAATTAAACATATAATTAATAACTAAATTATTTACTTTATTTTATATAAAGAATATTATTTTTTTTATGTGATCTATTTGCCTCTGCTTATCAATATAATAGGGAGAGCTTCTGGATAAAGAAGTACACTGTAAATCTAAATCATTTATTTAAGCTTTTAGATAATCAACTACATGTTTCTCAGAAGTTATATCATTTTAACTCTTCAACTTCATTATATTATTCACGTATGGCTACTTATTTACTAAGCTATCAAACTTTTATAAATTTTAGTTAATTTGAGCTAATTCTAGCTCGGTTAATGAATACTAATTATTAAGTAATCTCATTTTTTTAAAATCATTAAAATCCATGTTTTTAAAAAGGTTATTTTAATTGTTTTAAATATTAGAGACAGTTCTACCAGCATTTGTAAAAATATTAATATTATTAGAAGCTTTATTTGGAATTTGAGGTGTAGAATAATAATTATTAGCTTATTATGAGCGAATTAATGATGGGCTACTAGAGAATTTTTATATATTTCTTATTTATTCATATAATTAATCTTCTTTTTGCTTTAAATCCATTCTTTTATCTATTAAATCTTAAATTCTTTCTTTTTTAATTATGTCATTTTGTTTATATATTAGATCATTTCTTTAAAATTATTTGAGCTTATTCTCGAGAGTAAACAAGTCTTTGTAGTAATTTCTTTTATAGTTAATCTAATCCTGATTGAAGTATGAAGGTTCTTATAATAACTAAGCATGTTTTAATCTATTTTAGATTTATTACTATGTTATCTTATTTAAAATATCCTAATTGTATTACTCCATAAAGTTCCTTTAAAAAATGCAAATTAATTATAACAATAAATATATTTGATTAAATTGAATATTTTGCTCCACAAATTCAAGTAAACAAAAATTATCTTATAAGAAACACTAATATCTTTACAACTCTAAATTAATAATCAGTAAATTAATATCAAACAAAGTAAGCAAACATACAATCACTTTTCATATTATTAAAATAATATTTTAACTATTTATGAAAATAAAAAGTAATTAAATATTTGAAATATCATTTAAATAAATTTATATTTGATTTCTTAAAAAAACAAAAAACCTTTTAATAATAACTTTATTTTTAAGAAATAATCAAAAATTCTTAATTAAATCCTATAAAATTATTATAGCCAGATTCCATTCAAAAATTTAGCGATTTAAGATCACTATTTTTTTGGATGGCTGATGTATATAATTTATGTAAAAATAAAAAATTATATTAAAGAATTTAATTAATAATATTTATAATTTTAATTTATATCAATCTTTTTTATTCTTCAATAAAATTATTAATTTTATTTTAAATTTTCTTTAAATTTTTTAAATAATATTTATTATTCTACCTACCTACTAAATATTTATTTCCTACTAGATAAATAATTATCAGAGAATAGCAATATTGATGATGTTATATCTTAAATTTATCTATTCAAACAATTTGTGCTGGCTGATAATTTTGAAATTACCATAAATAATTAAATAATTTTGTATAAAAAAGATAAAATAAAAATATGTTCAACTAAAATAATTATTTTAATAATTTATATGAAGTAAAGTTATTTATTGAGTTAATTAAAATAAAATTTATTTTTTTTTTTGGTAAAAAGTTAATGCAGAGGGATTACTCATACTTATAAGATGCTTTTATAGATCTTAAGTATTAATTATAATTAAAAAATTTGATAATAAACTTTAAAACAATAACCAATATAATTAAAGTGATCAATTTTATATATAAACTTAAAATAAAAGGTATAAAAACATTTAGTCAGAAGAAGCATCAAAATTAAGTTCTTAAATAGAAAATTGGATTAACATTAAATATTTAGATCTTAATTTATTGTATTAAAATTTTTTATTTGTTATAATAAATAATAACTTTTAAGATATTTATTTTTTAAATCTTAAAAAGTTGTAACTATATTAAAAAATAAGGAGCAGCTGAATTAGGTTGTGCTTTATCTAAGTGTTAAAACCTACAAAAGTTAAAATTATCTCTTTAGTAAAAAAAATTTTATTTTATTTTAATAAAAAACAGATTATAAAATTATAATCAATAGTTTTATTAATTATTAAAATTTTATTGTTTTTAAATTTAATATAAAAAGCAATAATTATCTTTAAGATGAAGGAGCTTACAATTTAATTTCACCATTAAAGGCATGTTTAAATCTTGTTTTCCTGGATATTGATCTGACGTATAAATTATTATATTTTTTAAATGAATAAAGAGATATAAATATGCAAAATTTTTTAATTAAATTTGTATATTTTGTTATAATTATTATTTTTTTACAGAAAAAATCCAAAATATTAAAATAAGCATAATATGGTTAAAAAATACAATTTAAATTATCAAAAACATTATCAAGATTTTTATTATTATAATAAATTAATAATTTAATCAATAGGGATAATTAAATAGGACCAGCTGGTTGTTTGAGCTTAGGCCTTAGTTTATCTAAATTAGAAAGTCTCTTGGATTTAAATTTAAATTTATCGTAATAAATCATTTTAAAAAAAGAAAATTGAAAATTAAATGATTTTGAATTTTACCTTCTTGTTATTTATTTAATTTTTGGTAATTTTTTTTAGATCTAACTCTATTGGAGATGAAGGGGCTTAAAATTTATTATCTAATTCAGATAATTTCTAAAGTCTAAAATCTTTAAATTTGCAGATTCTGTACTATTCTTTTTTTATTATTATTTACCTTTTCATTTTTGTTTTTTTATGTAAACAAACGCTTTAAATTAATGATTTATTAAAGAAACTGTAAAATAGGTGTTTCAGGAAGCTAAAATTTAGGATACTCATTAGTTAAAATTGCGAACCTTGAAGATTTGACTATAAACATTAGGTTTTCTACATAATTATTTTTAAATATTTAAGTTAAATTAATTTAAAATTGTTAGCTATAATAATATGCAATCTGAAGGACTAAAAAGTTTATGCAGTTCTTTTTTTAATAATGAACAATCTTAAATTAAATTGAGTCTAGATGCAAAGTAAAAGTTTTAAATTTTTATTTTTCCTTTGATTAATGAAAATAAATTAAAATTTGTTTTGATAAAAAATACTTAACTGTATTCTTAATACATTTCTAAATAATTAAACAGAAGCATTAACTTGTTTAATAATCATGAATTCGATTTCTAAAGTGTTTTTAGCTTAAATTTTAGTCTTAAAAGTCTATCGATTTGTCTATTGTAAAATAAAAATCCAAATAAATTATTCTAATTAATTATTAAAAATACTTTATTTATAGTATTGATAGTTGTTTAAACTACATAAATATTAAAAATTTTGGACTCGGCTTATCAAACTGTAAAAATCTTTCAACTCTGTCTCTAGAAATTTAGTAACTTTTTCTCACAAAACTTGAAAAAAAATTAAATTGTAATATTAATTAAACTTAAGTAATGGCTAAGATTAATTTGAGGAAAATGATTTGTATTCAGCTCTTGCTTAATGCAAAAGTCTTAATCATTTATTTATCAGCATAGAGTAAATTATATTTTTTTTTTGAATTAATACTTTTATTGTAAATTTATTTTAACTTTTTTTAATGATATTGAGGCAATGTAATGAATTCATTTTAACGTTATAGGTAAAGATATGGCGAAAATGAGTTTACTGAAAACTTTAGATAAAAGTGTTTAAAATTAAAAAGACTTGTAAAACTATCCTATTACTTGTTTGAATGATTAATACATAAAAATTTAATTTTTTTATAAGCACTACATAAAGTGAAATTAATTTTAAGGTCTCTTAAAAAAAATTAAAAATCTAATCTTAATTAATAAAAAATTAATGTTAATCCCCTTTTAATAATAATAAATAAAATTTAAGTAACCTTTTCTAATTAGGTAAATCACTAAGTGAGGGTTTAATTTTCTTCTTAATTATAAGAAAGATTTGTAGCATAGCATATGTTTTAATTTAAAATAGGGATATTATTTATGTAAAGTATAAAAATTAAAATTACTATACAAAACTTATATAATATATTTCAATATTTATTATAATTAGTTCTTAAAATTTAATCATTTCTTTTCTTGCAAAAGCTTTGGCGAACTGTTAATAAGTTATTTTTTAAATCAGGTTCTTTTTATTTAATATCTTTTTCAATTTCTTCAGATAAATTGTTAGAAATTTTGAATTATGACTCTAGCTCAACTTGGCTCATTTAACTTTTACTTTGATTAACAAATTAATTATGATAGGTTCTTTATTTTTAGTTTTAAAACTGATAAATACTTAAAATAACAGATAAGAGCTAATATAATATTATTTCTAACAAAATAATCTAGATATTTATAAAAAAAGAATAGCTCAAGGAATCTGTAATTTAAGGACAATAACTTCTATCTGCTTTCATACTGTAAATGCAAAGCATAAAGTATTATATATAGGAAGCCAACCAAAGGGTTGATTAAATTATAAAATGTGCATTAACCAGTTTTGAATAAAATGGTTTTAAGTAAATTGTTAATGCTAATTAAATAAATTGAATTATAATTACTATAATAAATAAGGTCATCCACTTTTAACTTGATTATATGAAACAAATTGGTATTAAAACGGACTCAAATACTTAGAAGATGAGTATATAGTTTTTTCTCAAAAAAGACTCATTTATTGCTTCATTTATAATTTTTTCTTTAATAATTAATTCAAAGCACATATTCGTTGATTTTGGTATGTTAATGTAGTAATATTGTTATTAAAATAATATGATTGTTAATATTATAATTATAATTAACGGAATTAGTTATAATCCTATGCTATTAAAGCTAAAACCATAAAAGAATTATTTTATTTACTGATTGATCCCAATCATAAAAATGCTAATTATTAATAACAAACATTAAATAATTAAACTTGATAGAACTTTATCAAAAAATATTTTTGAAGCAGATATTATTGCACCACATCTTAATTTCTCTATCAAAACAAAAAATAGAATAAATGAAAAACTGCAAATCAAAAATAAAGTAAGAGCTTATCCAGATGTTTACAAGATATTAAATGAAAGGCCAAAGTCTTAATATTACAAAGTTTAGTATTAATTTTCATTTTAGCTTATAAGAGTCTCAAAAGGGTTTAAAAAATCAAGTTTTTAGAATGTGAATTAATCTATTATTTATTTAAATAAAACATTTTATTTAATTTAGAGATAAACAAAAAAAATAATTCTACCAACAACTGTTTTTAAAGTAGAATATATCTGCTAAGGGACAGCTTTATCAACTAAAGTGAGATAAATAATTTTAAAATAAGTTAATCCAAACGCAGCTAAACCAAAGCTAGATGAAGAAAATAAAGCCTAAATAAAACTAAGAAAAAAAGTTGCTCCAAATGCAACTATAAAAGTTATTTAGATTTATGAATTCCATTGTTCTATTTACCGACTCGTAAAAATATTTGATTGGCAATCCAAATAAGTTTAAACACAATCAAAATTAAAGTATGAATAGTTTTCAATACAATAACAATTATTTCCTATTACAGTTTATCCTATTTAAGTGCAATCTCTGCATGAATTATCTAAAAACAGATATTTTTATGGAGGACATATCAGACAATTAGTAAAAGAGGGTCCGTTACATGTTTAGCATGATTAATCACAAACAATACAATTATTGCCCCTATTTAATTAAAAGTAAATAATTATATTTTGTAGCTGAATTTAAAAAAAAAAAAAAAAATTATAAATTACGAATAGAAATAATTTTCATCACAATCTGTAACACATATTCCATTTTATAAGTAATAATTTGCATCACATTACTTACATAATTAATTTGTATCAACTAGATATGTAGAACATCCAGGCATCATATTATAAAGCTATTAAACAGTTGTATATTAGAATGTATCTTATGAATAATTACAGAACATAGTACTTTAACCGAAACCCTATTTTTTAATAAATAAATCACCTACATTCAAATTTCTAAAGATAAAAAATATACTTGATTGAATTTATAATCAAGAACACTATTATTTGTGCAGTATATATTTGCAATATTTGTTGTTCGCCCTTTTATTTGTACTTGATTTGATGATTGAATGTATAATAATTCAATGTAATAGTTTTGAAAAAAGAAGAAATTCTAATTAATAATATAAAAAATTAATATTCATTTTTAAATGTAAAGAATTTAATTAATACGTTGTATTAGTAGTAGGTTTAAACCCTCAATACATTTTAGGGAAAAGAATCTCCAAACGTATTAATTAATTTTAAATCATCTGCCCCATAAATTAAAAATGGGTAATTGGTAATATTAACTGACTAAACAATAATTATGGCTTTCTAATTAATTAAAAATAAATAAATAAATATATATATATATATATTCTTTTATTGAATAATCTAAATAAATCACATTTAACAAAATTTGAAGACTTTTGTTTAAATTATAATTCCTTTAACTATATAATGAATAGACAAGTAAATTACTGTTGGAAATTGAATAACAAATGAGTAGTTTTTCCTAATGTTAGAGACACTGTTTATCACAACTAGTTAATTCCCTTAAGCTTAGAGCTTTTTCAATGTTAAGTTCTAAAAATAAAGGCTGTATTTTTGCTATATTTAATAAAATTATTAAAATAACCTTGATAAAAATACTGACTAATTACATTTATAAGAAATAGGTTCCCTTAACCCTAAATTTCATATTATTTTCCTCCTATAAATAAATATTTTGACTCCATATATATGTATTAGTTATAATAATAAAATGGATAGTATCCAGCTTTATTATATTTGTAGATGAGATTATCAGAAACAAATAATTTTTCAAGCTACTACTCTTAAATCACATATTATTAGCTAACATCATCACAGAGCAGATAGTAATATCCATACTAATTTTCATAATTTCATAAAATTATTTAATTTATAATATTTATTTTCTATGTGTAAAGCTTAAAGTGTTATTTGTAATTTTGAAAATTTAATTAACTTTGAGAATACGAATTTTAATTAAAATTATGGTTGAAACAAAAAATAAACTAAATAACGTCATTATGCTTTAGTTATACTTAAAAATGTATTGAATAATTACTAATTTCTAAACTATGAAATTAGAACATGGATATTTAATCTGAGGCGTATTTATTTGTGTTAAAAAGCTAAGAGAGTTCTATTACATTAAGTTAAAGTCAATCATATAGTAGTAAGCTTGACCTTCCTCAAATGCGTAAACTATATTCTTTTGCTAAGATTGAAATAATTTTCTAATTTTAGTATTTTTTATCAAAAGTTACGTCTTTAACAAAGAATCTAGCTCTTAGTACTAGATTAAAGTTAAAATTAATTAGATTATAAGTGGAATTTACATATCCATTTCTATCTAAAATACTAATTTTTACTATGTTGTCTACCGCTCTATACAAAATTGAATTAGTTTCCTATTTGATAAAATATACAATAAGATTTTGTTGAAAGACTTTTGTTTATTTTACCTAAATATAATATACTTCGGTTAACATGCTTATAGGATATTGGGTTTATCCTAAATATAAAACGATATAATTTAAAAATATTAAAATCTATTTTAAATTTTTGAGCATTTATATCTATTTTTTTACTAAATATTTAGATTTTCTAAAATTAAATCATTATAATAAATATTGAATACTATAATATATATGAAAATATTGCAATTGTCTTAAGTTTTTGATTAGCTTATCTTATTAATTTAATTAATTTTTAGCCACTAATTAAGTTGATTAGAGAAAGATTTGTTAGCTTTGTTAAAAATTTAAAACTAATATAATTCAAAATTACTGACTGATTTACTATGTTAAAATAAACTAGAATTATCATTGGAGAAATATTTTTTCTTTTAAAATATTTTCAGATTTAATTTCTATTTGGTTATTTTAATTTAAGAAAAAACATTAATATAGTATAGTTTTTTGTTTATTTTTCTGAAAATTTCTCAAAATCTATTTTTCTTTTTGTGGTGGTTTGCTTAACTTCTAGTTGATATCATATGAATACAATCTAAAATATAGATTTTAAGGCTAACTTAATATTTTAACAAATAAAAAAGTAAAATATTTCAAAATTATTAAGAAAGTATTTGCTTTTTTAGATATTAAAAGCTCTTTAATTTAACTCTTTTACAAAATAATATAATAGAGTTTATTAGTCATTCCTTATAAATAATTATAATTTATTTTGTATTTTTGTTTTCGGATTATTTATGGTTGTTAAGAATTTCTTTTATTACAAATACTCAAATAAATACTATCAAATATTATTATTTGTCCAATCATAAAATCTTTGGTTTTTATTTGCAACAGATTTTCTATTTTTTTTTTATAACTCTAATGTTTAATTAAATTATGAATCTCTATTTTCCAATTGTTTGGTAATTTATTTAAATTGTCTGGATAGTAAATATTAAAAATTTTATGCATAGAAATTTATATATGTTAGTTTTTAGCCTATTTAAAGCAGTATTATTAAGTATGAGTTTATTTTATTTTTATTGGCTTTACTATGTCATTTATAATTTAATTTTATATAGTTATTTATTAAATCTTAATACTCTTACTTATAATTATTTTGATTCTAATTAAAAATTAGTTCTAAAATTATTCAAACAAACAAACTATTCTTTTAAGTTTTTTTGTTCTGCAAAAAATGTTATTTATCTTTTTAACTTAAAAGATGATTTGATTGTAAATTTTTAAATTTAATTAAGTTATTTTTTTGTTTGTTATTGATATGTTAAAGAAAAATATTTATGTACTTAAATTAATATTTTAGCAATATTCCATACCATAATTTGTTTTAATATTTATTAGAAATAAATAATAAAAATGATACTTTTAATAATTTATAATTTTTAATTTTTTTAATTTTGAGGGTTAATATAATTTGGGGTAAATTAATGAGAACTTACAGTATATTATATAAAATTATTAGTTCTAAAAACATACTAAATAAATGTATTTAAGTAATAACAGTTATCGTTTTTTTGTTATTTGACCTCACATTTGAGTTTATAATTTTTTAAATTAGCTTCTCTTGTTTTTGAAAGTTGTTTTCATAGATATGAATTATTTTTTTTATTTTTTCTATTATTATAAAACCCATTTTTAAACCACTTAAGGGTAATTAAAATGAGGTAAGTAGTACTTAAATATCTTAGCCTTATCAAATATTTGTAGCATTAAGTAATTTATTTGATCTATAGATTCTGTTGGTTCATTAACTTTTTTTTCAAGTTTTTAAAAATCTTAAATTGTATTTTACCTTAATAGTATACGAGAACCTTACTTTATACTGCCTTAATTTGTGTTTGTTGAAATTTAACGGCCAAGTGATTTCAAGCTTGTTCTTGGAATTTTCTATTAATGTATTTTTAAGCTATTTTTTGGAGATACCTACTAAATTTATTTTAAATTATCTGTGCTAGCTTAAAAGCTATTCTTTTTAGCAGTCTATTATTCTGATTACGATTGTAAATGATTTTAAGGTTGATTGATAAAATGTTCTATTTGACTAACTTTTCTTCTTCCTAGTTAATCAATTTGGCTTATTATTATCTTATGATCTTAAAAAGTATTACTCTTTTCTCTTTAACTATTTTTATCTTATCTTGGATCATACTATTAAGGTTGATAGCTAATATCAGTTATTAACTAATATTTAAGCAAATTTAAATTTATTGAGTCTCTATTTTGGTAAATAATAGAATTTTTCTTTAACTACAAGGGTTCGTTTGTTATTTCAGTTTTAATTTATTTTTCATCTTATTAATTAGAAATGTAAGATTATTTCTTTTGTTAGGAATACTCTTTTTGACTTGTTTTTTATTTATCAGGTAGAGAATCAGAGTCAGAATCTTCATCAGAAGAATGAGATGATATTGAATCTTAAGACTGAGATTTTGGATCTTGTGAAGAAATTATTTAAGATGTTTAGTTTTTACTTAATTAATTGCTCAGTTCTTAGATTAATTATAACTATTAACTAGCTGCTTAGTAAAGAAACGATTTTTTGGGTTTCGATTACTCAGTGATTAAATCAACATTTTAATGAATATTACTTTAGCTTTATTATTTACCTGTATACAATGAATGTCTACTTTTCATATTCATTTAAAATGTTGTTTTCCCTTGGGGGTCTTCTAAATTATGTTAAGCTTTATTAATTTAGCCATTTATATTTTCATTTTAATCTAGAATAAAATTAAAAGAAGGATTTTCATCTATATATTATTTTCCTCTGTCATATTCGCTTAGACAATCTTATTATAAATTAGTTTCATCTTCCAATTATTCATTACAATTATCTCCATTCTCTATATCATCTATCATTTCAAATAAAGACTCTCGATTACTAATTTCAAAAGCTTTGCTTTAAAGTTAACTTTTTATATTTTTAAAGTTAATTAATAAATAATTATGTAGAAATATTTTAACTGTCTAAATTAAGTTTAATTTTTTTAAAACTTAGATTAAAAATTTAATAATTGCTTAATATTTAAAAGAGCTAAATTATTACCTTAATTGTTAAGTATAATCAATTTTGGGTTTTTTCCTATGGTAAGGAGCCCGTTCTTATGGAGAAGAAACGTTATACCTTGAGATGATAAAGCGTGTAGTAAATGTCAGATGGGTAGATGGGCAATCAATAGAGTAATGCTTCCCAGATTTGCATGTTGAACAATATATAGAACAAAATTAAAAATTATTATTGAGAGTGATTGCTTCTTTCATCATTTAAAAATTTTCAAAATCTTGATCGAGCTCCTTTATAACTGATAAAAATTATTCTCTATTAATCTTATATATTTTGCAAAAATCAGCAGCCTTAGCAGTAAATTTTCTTGGACTTCCAGTTATAAATGAGATTTCCCCAAAGTATTCTTTCTTCTCTTTAAGCTAAATTTATTTTGCTTCTCTATTAGAATTTTGATCAGGCTCAAAAATGATAGAAACACTTCCTTTGACTATATAATAAAGCGAGCAATCATCTAAATCTCCTTAAGTAAAAATAGTTTCAGCAGGTGAATAGAGTTGTTCTTACATAATTTTAGCAATTTTATCTTTCTCTTTTAGCTATTTAAATAATGGAATGTTACTCAAATATTTTCCTTAAATTTCTAAAATCAGATCATTTTTTAATTTCATAGAAAGTTTTTCAATTATCAGCTTTTCTTGTTTCTTTCTTGTTTCATTAGATTTCTAAAAAAAAAAAATTATTTGTTGAAATAAAAATCAATTCAAAAAATTATTAGACTTAGTCACAATCTTGTTTGGCTTATTTTTAAGTAATTTACTCTTTTTGAAAAATTTGTTAATTTTAAATGGGGAAAAGTAAGTATGTGAATTATATACTTTGTAGAGATATTCAATGTAGTTTGAAACTTCGATTTTGAGTTCTCTTGAAATTTCCTCTTCTCTCATTAATCCATGAATTATTTGTAAATTTTCTTTATATTTTTTGTCTTTTTTCTCTATATTCTCTATAATTCCACCTATTGTGTTTAAACTAAAAGCATAAACAACACACGTTACAAAAATTGTAATCGTAGTGAATAAAACTTCAAGTGTGTTTTATGGAGAGATGTCTCCATAACCTACAGTAGCCATAGTAACCGTTAAAAAATAGAAAGAATAAATATATCTTTCTTAAATTGATGCATCAAGAAGATTTTTACTTGCCAACCAATTGTTTGTAATACCATTGTTAATCTCAAACATAACTAATCCATGCCAAAACAAGCAAAAGACATGACAAATTCCTATTACAAAAATAAGAAGCCTTAAAAGATCAAATATATTTTTATGATCTTTTTCATAGCTAACATAAAATGTAACCTGCTTTAAAACTTTGGAGATCTTGACCCACTTAAAAGTAAATAAAATATTATTAATTATTCTGATAGTAGCACTTACTTCTACTTTCTTAATATAAAAAAAGAGAGGTATATTCCCAATTAAATCTAAAAAAAGCCTTTTCTTCATATAGGATTTAAAAATAAATTTTCTATCAGTGATAATATTTCCCTTTTTAAGAACTCCAGTATTTAGTTCAATAAAAATATCAATTGCAGAAATATTAAATAATACTTAAAACAGCAGTTAGAAAGGAGTTATATCCATTTCAAAAAATAGCTCTAAATTGAGAAGAAAAGTTGAGAATATAATTAATAAAGATTGTAGACTATCCCAAGCCTTAATTAAGTAATTTGATGGTTTAAATACTTTGCCATTTAGCATTTAAATTAACCTCTAAAAAAAATAGTAAAAATTATAAAAGGTACTTTTAGTATGTTCTTAATGTATATTTTTTGTGTAAAAACTAGAAGTATCTCCAATTAAATTATGTTGAAATGAAGTAAGCTTATTAAATATTCTTGCATTCATTGAAAGGATTTTATAGAAGTTTTATACATTTATCAATAGCCTTATAACTTTTATCAATCTTATAGCCACTGTTTTTTTGTATTCTGCTTGTTCCAAATTCATAACCGAGCTCTATAAGCTTTAATCCTAATTGGAAGATGGTTAGATATGCTGACTTGAAATATTTTTTTATAATGCTTTTATTTCATGAGTTAAGCTTTTTTCAAGTTTTATGGATAATTTTTAATGTTATTCTTTATTTTTAGTTGAATTTAATGCTTATAAAATTGTTTTGTTCTAGCAATTTTCATAAGTAGACATTTCATATCTTGCAGATGAATCTCTTCCACTAATCTATAAAAAGCTGCCTGATTCTACTTCAAAATCATTCTATTTAAATGGATGCTTTGAAAATGATTTGTGATCCTTTTTTGTTAAAACATAATTTAAGTATTGATTAAAAAAAAATATAAATCACTTCTTCATTTTACAGAAAATTATCACGATAGGTTTAATTGTATGAAACCTATGACATTTTTTTATATAATATTAATGAATTAATGACTTTTATTAGTTAGCTATTTATTTTATCAATTATTAATGAAATAAGTTAATTTTTTAAGTTGACTCTATATATTAAAAATTAATTAACTTTTATCACTAATTTACTAACTCGTAATCAATAACTAATAAATATACTTAATTTAATTTCTTATTATAGCAAATTAAATTTACTAGTTGATTTTAGATAATCTAGATAAAATTATTCTAATCTTTTTTATAATCTTTTAGCAATTATTCATATTTTTCACTCCTAAATATTGATTATTATATAATGAAAAAAAATTAAAATAATTGAATTTTTAGAAATCATAATTCAAAAACAATATTTTATTTAAGTAGATTTTATATTTTTGGTGTTAAAAAGCTTTAGAAGTAAGCGTGTTTAATTGTTTTCTCAAATATTATTTAATTGCTTTCGTTTATTAAAATATTAAATTATAATAAAAAAAATTCTTAGAATTTTTGAATTGAGAAAAATGAGAAAAAATATCAGAATTATGTAATATTTAGAAAACTTAAATATTTTATAATAGCAATATTAAAATTATGATAGTTAAGAAAATGATTAAAGTTGATTGTCGCTACATATCAATCAATACATTATTTTATATTTATTTTTAGCCAATATCTAAGAATTAAATTAAAAACTAACTATTTAAATTTTAAATATTCTCAAAAATTCAACAAATCATAGAGTATCTATCTATCTGATATTCTTTTTATAAATAATTAATTATTAAGTTTATAAAATAGCTTAAATTTATAAATTTTGAAAAAAAAGAAGGGTTATACTTTTTCTACTAGAATTGATGCTTTTTATTAACCGATTTTACCAAAAACTTTTTGTTAGTTAAATATTATAAGTAAAAAATAAATAACCCTTTTAAAAAAATAAAATAAATTTAATTAAATTTTAATTATCAATTAATAATAAATATTTATGAGATAAAAAATAATAGTTAATTTAATAACTAATTAATTAACTTAACAAAAAAATAAAATTAAAATTTCATATTATAATTTTTTTAAATTAGCTTTAATAGGAGCTTTATTTTCTTTTATTTTAATACCTTTTCTTTTTAAGGTTATTACTTACAGAGATTGGTATACTTTTTTATTTTTTTGATTAAAAGATCATCCATTTTTATAAAACTTCAGGGTAATTATAGTTAGGAAAATAATACTTAAATATCTTAGCCTTATCGAACACCTAGAGCATAAAATAATTTACTTAATCTTGAGATTCACTTGCCTCTAGAAATTTTTTTTCGAAGTTCAAAAAATTTTATTGTTCACCTTAATATTAAAAAGGAGTACACATATTATTGCTATAATTTGCTTGATTATTAATATTAATAGTTTTTAAACTATTATTAGGAGAAATTTATTTAAAATTCATAATTCCATTAGTTATTTAAAAACTTTTTCTTTTGTTAGCTTTTATATCCTCTTCAAAAGATGAATTATTGCTTTCAATAAAACTGATTAAATTTTCTAACTTCAAATTTTATCTTGTTAATCTTCTAGCTCTATTATTTAAAAGTATCCCATTTTGCTATTATTAGTTATTATTATTGTTGTTGTTGTTATTAGGGTTATTATGGTCATTTAAATCATTAATATATAAGCTATTTTTTCGATAGTGGTTTTAATTATGTTATAAAGTATCTTTTTATTAATCTATCACTTATTTTGTTAAAATTTAAATTTATTTATTTTCTAATTAATCATTCAAACCTAAATTTTAGTTTTGTTTATCAGAAGAGTTTATTTTTTCTTGTGATTTTATACTTTTACATTTAATAATAAAGTTTTTAATATTATCATCGATTTCATCTGAAGAAGAAGATGATGATGATGACGAATGTGACGATGATGATGAAATAGATGGTGTTAACTATGATAGATCTTTCAGATTATTAGAATTTTATTTTTACATTGTATTTGTCTAATATTGGTTTTCAGTATTATTAATTTCATTAATTTACTCATCTTAAATTAATTATTAGTTTTAGCTTGCTCTGTAGTGGATAGACTTTCTTGGTTATTTCTATTACTAAATTATTTAGTCAATACTTTTTTTTTAATTAATTTATATTTTATTTTAATTCAAAATAGAGTATTTTCTGGTTTATATCGGTATTTAGCTAAATGATTATTGTTATTGATGATTATCTAAAGTAATAAAAATTCTTGACAAAGTTTCTGATCTCTTACGATTAACTTCATTTTAAACAGGAATTTAATTTAAAAAAATAGTATTACCTCTTTGAAACAAATCTCTATCATCTTCGTTTTCAATTTATTGTTAATAGTTAATTTCTCCATCTAATAAATCAAATTAAACACTTTCAAATTCTATTGTGTCAAGTATTTCAAATAATGACTCATTATTATTTATTTGATTAATTGCCTTTTTAAGTTACCTAATATAAATTTATTTTTTATAAATTTAAATATTTACTTTTTTAATCAATTTTAAAATAAATTATTAAAATTCTAAAAAATTTAAATTGATAATTCTAATTTTTAATTATATTAAAAAATAGTTTTGACTATTTAGAAATCCTTTTATTAAAGAGATATTTAAAATTACTAAAGATTTTTTTTAAAGTTATTTATTTATTTATTTATTGATAATTCAAAGGATTTAAGTATTTTATTTAGATGATGAAATTAACAAATTAAAATTAAGGAAAATTAGTTAATTACTATGTTTTTTTGAAGTAATTTAACTTAAGCTGTCTCCTTGTATATTAAGTTCTTTCTTATAAGCATTTACTATTATATCTAGAAATAATAATTTATTTTTTAAATGTTAAATGAGTTTTTGGACAATTTATAGAAAAATGATTTTCAGATTTGCAAATTGAGCAAATAATAGAGCAATATTTAAAATTATTATTCAGAGTTATTGCTTCTTTTATCATTTAAAAATGTTCAAAATCCTAATCATTTTCTTAAATAACTGATAAAAATTGCTCCCTATTAATTTTATATATCCTGCAGAAATCAGTAGCCTTAGCTGTAAATGTTCTACGGTTTCCAGTTATAAATGAGATTTCTCCAAAATATTCTTTCTTTTGTTTAAGCTAAATTTATTAAGCTTCTCTATTCGAATTCTAACCAGACTCAAAAACAATCGAAACACTTCCTTTGACTATGTAATAAAGGGAACAATCATCTATGTCTCCTTAAGTGAATATTGTTTCTGCAGGAGAGTATAATTACTCTTCCATAATCTTTGCGATTTAATCCTTTTCTTAAATTGATTTAAATAAAGGAATATTGCTTAAATATTTCCCTTAAATTTCTAATGTAAGATCATTTCTTAATTTAGTTGAAAGTTTTTGAATAATTAGCTTTTCTTATTTCTTCTGAATTTCATTTGATTCCTATTTTAATAAAAACAAATCAATAAACAAATTATTGAATTTAAGAAAAATAGAAACATAATAAAAAATTCTAAAATTTTATTTAGCAAACTATTGCACAAAAATAATTTAAGATTTTTATTTCAATATAAAATTTACTTTCTAATAATTATTTAATAAAATTTAGATTGATAAAAGTTTCTAATTAAATTTTGTATAATGTTTTTTAGTCTTTTTTGATAATTAATACTTTATTTAATTAATATTGAAGGCATTGTATTTTAATAATAATCTACTTTATAAAGATATTCTATGTAATTTGAAACTTGTATTTTGAGTTCTCTTGATACCTCCTCTTCTCTCATCAATCCATGAATTATTTACAAATTTTCTTTGTATTTTTTATCTTTCTTTTCTATATTCTCTATAATACCACCTATAGTGTTTAAGCTGAATGCATAAACAACACAAGTGACAAAAATAGTAATTGTTGTAAATAAAACTTCTAATTTATTTTAAGGAGCGATATCTCCGTATCCTACAGTTGCCATAGTAACAGCTAAGAAATAAAATGAGTAAATATATCTATCTTAAATAGACGCATCAAGAAGGTTTTTGCTTGCTAGCCAATTATTTGTTATACCATTATTAATCTCTAACAACACTAATCCATGCCAAAATAGACAGAATATATGACAAATCCCTATAACAAAAACTAGAAGTTTAAAGAGGTCAAAAATATTTTTATGATTTTTTTCATAACTTACGTAGAAAGCTATCTGCTATAATACTTTCGAAATTTTAACCCACTTAAAAGTAAACAAAATATTGATAAATATTCTCATAGAAGTAGAAACTTCTACTTTCGAAATATAAAAAAAGAGAGGTATATTACCTAACAAATCTAAAAAAAAGGTATTTTTCATATAAGACTTAATAATAAAATTTCTATCATAAATTATAATGCCCTTTTATAGTACTCCAGTGTTCAACTCTATAAAAATGTCAATAACAGAGACATTAAATAATATTTAGAAGAGTAATTAGAACTATGAAATATCCATTTAAAAAAATAACTCCAAATTTAATAGAAAAGTTGAGAATATAATAAGTAATGATTATAAACTATCCCAAGCTTTTATTATGTAGTTTGAAGGATTAAAGACTTTCTTGTTTAAAATGTACCTGAGCTTCAATGAGATATACATGAAATTGTTAACTAGATTAAACACTTTACCACCATTTTTTAAACTTAAACTTTTTGAATAAACACTAGAAGCATCTCCAATTAGATTGTGTTGATGTTAAGTAAGTCTATTAAAAATCCTTGCATTCATCGAAAGGATCCTAAAGAATTGCTGAATATTAACTATAAGTTTGAGGGTTCTCATTAATCTAATTGGCTCAGCTTTTTTAAATTAAAATTCTTCTTAATTAAGATTAATGTTCTAAATGTCATATTTTTAGCTTTGTGTTAACTAATTATGTTTGATTGGACTATTATTTGTCAGGGTTTTTGTGTTACGACTAAAACTCTTTTCTGTATAAACTGACGTACATTCCTGAAATTAATCTCTTTGATACTCGCTTAAAACTTATAAAATAGTTTTGTTTTATATATTTTCTTATTGAGGAATTTCATTTTTAGTAGTTGAATATATTCTACTTGATTCGAAAAAGCTGCCTGGTTCTACTTCAGAATCACTCTATTTAAATGGTAACTGTTAAAACAATTTATGATCCTTTTTTACAATAAAATATTATGGATAATTATCTAAAAATGAGCTTAATTTAAAATAAATACCTCTGCATTAAGCTAAAAATTTTTGCGATAGCTATTGTTATTCTCATAAGAAATCATATTCTTTATTTAAAATAGCTCCGAAAAATTAATTGATTGTCTTTGTAATTAACTTGTTTTACTTCTTAATTTTTTTAAATGAATTTCAAAAAAACACCTAATTTATTTCTTATATTAAATTAAAAATTAAATATCTTTTAATTGAATTAAAAGTAAATTCAGTAAATTGTAATTTTAAATTTATATTTAACAAATTCTATTTAAAATAATTCTTTCAATTTTAGTCTATTTAAAAATTATTTTCTAATTTGGAATTATTTTAATTAGCAAAAACAATTTTTAATTTTAAATAAAAAAAATATATTAATTCATAATGAATAATAAACTGAGCTGATGCATTGATCTTTTTAGTATAAATTAATAGTAATTTTTATTGGATACTAAAACTATTTATACAAAAAACTCTATGTCTTTATTTTGTGCCTTCTTTTTTACATTTTTTTTTTGTGTAATAAAATTCATAATAAAATACTTTAGTTATCTTTTTATATGTATTTACTTTATTGTCTTTTTTTTTAATCATATACTTTAAGATTTATATTATATATATATATATATTTTAAATTCCCTAATATGATAAACGAAAATATTTAAGATTTAAATCTTTACCAAAATATGGTATTGATAAATAAATAAAAAAAATAAACATATCTATCTATGTATATTTTAGGTTAAATTATCTTATTACAAAATAAAAAATAAGAATACATATTATTTTCTATTATTCTAATATTTCATATTTATTCATACTGTTTCACTGCTTGTCACTCACCATCAGTAATTGATTTTAAAGAAATTTAAATTGTATAATTTTAAAGAATATATAATATGTTTTGTATATTAGAATTTACCTTTTATCTCACATTCTGTTATTTTTACATTTCTTTGCAATCTTATTAATATTTTAATATATAAGCCCATTCTATCCATATTTTTATCCCTATCGAACATTTTTATAAGTTATTTACAGTAAGAAGTAAGTAGATTGTAATAAAACTATGAATTTATTTTAACTTTATTTATAAAATAATAAAATTCATATAAAAAAGTAGTAATCAAAAAAATATGGAATAATTTTAATTTATATTTTTGTAATAAAATTAATAATTTAATTATGAAATATTTTCAATTTTTTTCTTTCAAAAATAAATATAATATTTTTATTTTTTTACAAAATAAATAAATCTATAAAAAATAAAATATAAATAAATCCTATTTCAAATAATTCTCAAAAAATTTTTGCAAAGTTGTTATTTTAAAAATACAAGGAATGATTTTACAATAAAATTTATGAAATTCATTTTTTTAGGATTTTTATATTCTTTGATTTGATAAATATTATAAATATATGAATTGATATAATCAATTATTTTAAATTGATTACAAGTTTTTTGGAAATTAAACACCATTTTACATTTTTACTCCATAAGATAGATGAGTAGGTTTATATTGATTTATATCATAATCTTATGGAATAAACTTAATTAAATTTGAGTTTCCGTGAAAAATAGAAAGCCTAGTATGATTAACAAGCCCTATATTGTAGCGACGTTGCTTTGAAGCTAATTTATTTTTCTTAAATTTCTTTTACTATTATTAAAATTTTTTTAGTTTTTAAATAACTTTTTCAAAGTTATTATGAATAAAATATTTTTTGAATTAATGGAGTTTGTCAAATTAATCCATTGATAGTGATAAAATCTAAGATTCTCTTGGTTATAAAAAGCTTTTACCGCTTGCTAGCTACAAAAGCAAAGGTATATTTGAATTCTACATGATTTTTGAAAGCTTTTTAATAAGATCAATATCACTATTACGATTACTATTATTATTTTGATTTTGTTATTAATTTTGCTAAATTTATTATGAGTTACCATAGACATAAAGCGTTTAGTCTCTTATATTTGAGTTATTAACTTAATTTAGGCTCAAATTAGATTATTAGCTAGGTGTTTTTTCTTTAGAGTCTTTTATAGTTCTGTTTGTGTAATTTATGCATTTATCAATTATTTCTTGGATGTTAGATAACTAGGTTTGACTATTTTTTTATTATAATTGAGAAATTCTTTTGTCACTAATTAAACCATTAAGAAGAATATTTTATAATAACACTTATTCAACTGAACATCTAGGTTATTCTTTTTAGTTTTGATTTAATAGTTTTAAACTTTTTTATGAAACATTATTTCTTGATTTAGATTTCATACTTATGCTTGTTAATAGTTTATTTTAATTTTCAGTAAAGTTAGGCTATTAAATTTAAGCATCTTTAAATGACAAATTTAGATCATCAGTCTATTGATTTTAAATTTTGTTAGAATATTAGATATTTAAAATGCTATTGTTAGAACCTTATTTTAGTTATTTTTTTTCATAATCAGATTAATTGATTAAATTAGCAGCTTGTTAAATTGATTTTTAGTTAATAAACCCTTCTTCGTTTTATTGATTTGATTATTAACTTTAGATTTCGTTTGTATTTTATTTTAAAAATTCTGTATCATTTTTATTAATTGATCTACAATTATTTTCGGTTATTTATGCATTTTTACTAGATATTGCATTAAAAGAAGATTCCTATTTAGTATTACTGTTAATATTATCTGTTACATCCAGTGATTTAGTCTTAACATAAGAGTATAAAGTATTAGACTAAGCTTTTTTTAACTCAAAGTTTTCTTAATTATTTAAAGATTTATTGCTGTGGCATTGATTTTCTTAATTGAATAATGATTCGTTTTCTTCATTACTTTATAAAATATAATTATTTACTTTTTTTATAGTTTTTAGTAATTTGTCTGCTTTTTTTATTGAATATGTTTTTGAGACATTTTGGGAGTTAACACTTTGTTAATCAAAATATAATGGAATTTATGATAAACTTTCATTTTCTTCATCATCATCTTCATTTTAATATTTAGATTAAGAATACTCAGAAGTGAGAAGATATTCTTTTGTTTAAAATAGCATATAGCTTTAATCATTCTACTATTTTAAATTTAATTTCAAGCGGTTAAAGATATCTTTATTTTGCTTTATCTAATTCCTTTTATTAAAAATTTTAATTAATTTTTTTTAAATTAATTTAATTTTACATTGATTGAAATTTATATTTTTTGATTTTTCTTTCGATTTAAGCTCTCTCTTAAAAGGTAGAATAATTTTATTTTAAAACTATAATCTGCTGATCTTTAATTTTGTGAGTTTTAGGGCATTAATTAGCTATATGACCAACTATTTTACAGCTATAGCACTCTGTATGAATGACTTACAAATCATTTTAAAATATTATCTAATCTTGTATCATTTTGAATTTCTCAAAATCTTCTGTATTTTCTTTTAATATTTCTATGAATTTACTTCTGTTTATTTTATAAAGGGTAGATAAATTCACACTCCTTGCAGATGCCTATCTTTGTAGCCCAGAGAAAAAAGATATTTCACCAAATATTTACCCATCTCTTAACACATTTATTACATTTACTTTGTTTTAATTCTGTAATTGTTGCTAATAAATCTCAATAATTCCACTTTAAATGAAATAAATAGATGAATCATCAAATTGTTTCTCTCTAATTAGCACTTCATTTGGATTTACAAGAACTTCTTCCATTATGAATATTAATTTGTTCAAAGTCGCTTATGAAAAATTAGAACTAAACAAAAAATAATTATTGAGGATTTTAGAATTTATTTCAATTGTTATTTCTTCTCTTAACTTGTTGGAAAGTACTGACAATATTTTATCTTCTGCTTATTTATCTCTATCTTTTTATTCATATGCTAAGAATGACAAATAATGTCGAACTCTACTTTTAAGTTAAATATTCACATCTTTTCTAATCAAATATCTAAATAATAAAACAAAATTAAGCATTTTTCTTATTATTAATAATTAATTAATACCTTTAAATTATAGTAATATCATCATTTAACTGTTTTGAGGATTTTTCAATTTCTTGTAAAATAAAACCGATGTTGTTTATTGAGTAAGCAAATACACAACTAAAGAGGATCATTACAACAGAAATATAAAGAGCTTCAATATAATTTGTAGCTGCAATGTCTCCGTATCCAACTAATTAAATTAAAGGTAAAAATAATAAGATATTTAAAATATAGAATAAATATATTTAAAACCTGTAGTCATTGTAGTGATAGACCAGTAAATAGAATATGCATACTTTTCATAATAAGCATTATCTTCAATACCACTCTTATCAAGCCAGCTATTCTAATTATTCTATTTTTCTTAAATACCTAAAAAATACCAACCTATTGCAGCTATTAAAAAATTGTTTTTAACTTGATATTAAAAAATAATAATTAATTACCAATATGAGCTACAGTAATAAGGCTTAAAATTTAATTGATAAGCTTAATTATGTGCTTTTGGTTTTCAGTTAAAGTAAAAATGTAATTAAAGCGTTATTTTTTATGAGAAATTCCATTAACTTTAAGAAAAATTAAAATATTAAATCCATATTTTAATAAATTATCATTTTAATCTTAATTAGCTAATTAATTTTGATAGATAACTTTAGAGCTTAGAGCAAACAAACTCAGAAAATCTGTGACAAATATTGCTGATAAAAAATATTATTTAGCAATTTGCTTGCGTTTAGTGATTATATTATCTTTGTTAAATATAGCTGTGTTTAAATTAACAATGATATCAGCTATAAACATAATAAATGCAAAATAATAAAATCTAGAAATAAACTATGAATTAAAATCATTCTAGTCAAAAAATGTTAGAAGAGATAAAATGTAGAGAAATGAATAAGTAAAAATAACTTAAATCATATCCCATAGTACTCTTATTGTATCAGTTGGCATAAAGATTGGTAGAATTTGCATTAATCTTATAAAGCAATTAAATATCATTTAAAATTGATAGTTTTTTATGTTTTTGTCATTTTGATTGTAAAAGTAGCTCAAGTCGTTAATCATCAAATATTCATTCTCTTTTAGTCCATCAATTCTTCTGTTAAAATGTCTGAGTTTTAATAAATTAATAAAATTTTCAACATGTTACCTTATTTTCATTACCCTATTCATAGAAGTATTTAAAAGTCTATTTATTATGTTAGCAGCTTTTTTAAAGTTCTACTAATGTTTAACAGAGCTATTATTTTCTTACTCCTCTTGATATTTATTTTTTAATGCAAATGTTACTTTTGTGCCTAGTGTTTTGAAGTTTTTTTCATAGAAAATATCCTCTTAGAGCCAAATTTAGTCATTTTCTTCTGCTTTTGTACGACTATTTCGCTAAATAACACTATTATTTTTTTTTGATTCAGATTCTCTATCAACTATTGTGTTTTATGAAGCATCTATCCTAGATTAATCTTAGTTACTTAAACTTTTTTATCCACTAAAATTTATTTTAGAAGATATTTGATTGACAACTTTTGAATCACCTACTTAGAAGTTATCAATTTCATGATAACATTCCTAATTTTCATACTTTTAGGAATGCATTTCATTACTAAATTCTTCATGAAAGTTGGTTTCATCATTATTTTCTAAATTTATTTTATATGTCTATTTAATTTCATTACTATTACTTGGTTGTAATGTTCTTTCAGCAGATTACTAGTTCTTAATATCTAATATACTACTACTTGCTCTTTCTTAAAAGCTGCTTTCTTAAATATCAGAGTCTCCATGATGTGATTATTGTAATTTATTGTTCTATAATTCAAACAAAAACCTTTGACGAGATCTATCAATCTATGTATCACATATTTGTTATTCTCTTTGTTCATCTACTTAACTATTTATATAATTTATTGATTGCCTTTAGGTTCTTTTTTTAAAATTTGCTCCTACTTAGCAGTCCATTTCTATATGTAAACTAATTAATTAAATGCTCTAAGTTTAGTACAGACTTATTTATTTACAGTTAACTTTTGAATTAAATAAAATATAGGAAGTTTAATCAATTAAGAATGAATATTATTCAAAAAGAAAAAACTTTAATCATTTAATCATCATTGAATTTTAATTATAACTTTTATTAATTAGGAGTATACATACTATCTGTATAAACTAAAGATGTATATAAATAAAGTTTATTTAACTAAAATTGTTGTAATTATAAATTAATTAATTATTAATACAATAAATATATTAACATGATTATAAATAGTTTATAATTACAAATAATAAAAATATACACTAAAAGAAAGTTTCCTTCATTATTATTTACATTATATCACTAAATAGAATAAAATAATTTCACTTTCAACAAAATATATACCAAATTTACCATAGCCATTTACACTTATTTAATAAAAAAATAAATAAATCTCTTTAGTAATTTATCTCTCAAAATGTAAAAGTTTTTTTGCTTTATATATTTGAACATATTTAATTTATTTTATCATCAATTTTTTTTCAAGAAAGATAAATAAATATTTTGCTATAAAAAAAAATAAATGATAAATTAAGTAAATAAAAAATATTTTAATTAAATTTATATTAATTGAATTAAATAAGTTAAAAAAACAAAAGAGTTGCTGCAAAAAAGACAGTACCCCACCTATTAAATTTAAATATAAGAATTATTTATTTGTTTTGAAATTGAGGGGGGGGGGGGGGGGGGTGTTAATATATGAGATTTTACAGTATTTATTTTTCAATTTATATTAATTATATGGTGTGTTCTTTTATTTTAAGGTGAATATAAAAAAAATATATTAAAAATCTTCAAAGCTGAATGTGTAATTAATTACAAGTTTTTAAATAGTATTTTGGATTTATTACTTTTTCATGAATTTCTTGAATGTATTTAAGAACTAAACCTGAATTTTATTTATTGGAAATTTTATTATTAAAAAATAAATTTATTTATATTAAAAACATACAAAAATTTAAAAAGTAAAATAATAACCTTTGAAAATAGTTTAAAAATTTTTTATTTTATTCAATTTTTAGTGATGACTAATTCATTCATACTTATATCATTCATTTAAAACTAATTTAAAATTGGATTTATTTTCTAGTTGTTTTTTATCTTTTTGTTTTTAAAGAATTGAAAAAGTTTTTTTATATTGATGATTAGTATAAAACCCATTTTTAAACAATTTCCGTATAGTTAAAGTGAGGTTAATAATACTTATATATTTTAGCCTTATCAAAAATTTATAGCATCAAATAATTAACTTAATCTGAAGATTCAGTAATATCATCAATTTTTTTATCACTTTATAAAATTCCAATTTAGTTATGTTTTGAAAACTAACCAGAGCTTTATGAATTAGTACCCTAATTAACTTTTTATTCATTTTATAGACTGTATTAGTTTTAGCTATTTTTAAGAGAAAGTTAGGAAAGGTTTTATAAACTATAATTTGAAGACAGTTATTGAAACTATTTTAATGTTAAAAGTTCAGCAGGTATTTGGAAATTGTTAAATTTAGTAATTTATCCTTCTGTTATTTTAGAGGTATTGAATTAAATTGTAGTTTAGTTATTTTCTAATTAATTAGGTTCTTTTGCTAATAAAATTAAATTAATTGATCTATCGTTTTATTAATTATTATTTTTTTGTTTATCAACAAAATATCTATTATATTGTAATTGTTAATCATCATTATTTAATATTATGTTTTTTGAACTGTTATTAATTAATTTAATTGTTTTATTTTTATTTGATTATCTCCTCTAAGATATTTAAGATAATCTTTTTTGCAACAACTATTCATCTTTTTATTCAAACGTAATTTAATTTTAGTTTTACTTGTCTTCTAAATAATTTGGTATTAAAAAGCTTTTTTTCTGCTTAGGATTATTTTCTATTTTATTTTCTATGCTTAAACTAGAATCAATTGAATCATTTCTTTCATTTTAAGAAGTTAATGATGATATAGAAGGCTAAGATTATGGTTATAATTCATCGTTATTCATTGAAGAATTTTATTTTATATCTACTTGCTCACATTTTTAAAGCTCTTAAATAAATTATTAGTTTTGACTGGCTGAATAAAGGAATGATTTTTTAGTTTATTTTTATGTCTAATTATTTTGATCGACATTTAGTTGTTAATTGTTTTATTAATTTAAGTAACTTTTACGCTATATTTTTAAATAATCAATAGTTTTTTCTTGCTGGTTTTCCATTGATTTTTAAGCTTTTCTTATTGTATCTAGCTAACTTCCAAAATTATCATTTTTTGTTGAAATGAAATTTGAAGAATGAGTATTATTTCTTAAGCGTATTCCTCTTTCTGATCCTAATTGAATTTCCTATTTATAGTTAGCTTCGTTATCAAATTGGTCTTAATAATATGATCCATTTTCTATAAAATCAATTATTTCAGATAAGGACTCAACATTGTTAATTTATAATACAGCCTATTAAAGCTACCTTTTGAGTTTAAATATATAAAAATATTTTTTTAAAATCTTCATGATTGCATTTATTTTGTAAATTTTAATTTAAAAATTCAAATAATATTGATTTAATTACATTTTTTTTTGTAAATAATTTTTCTTAGTATGTTTCCTGTTATATGAAGCTCTTTCTTGTGGTGAGCTACTATTATATCTAGAAATAATAATCTATTTAGTAAATGTTAAATGTGTGCGGGGACAATGCATAGATAAATGCTTTCCAGATTTACAGGTTGAGCAAAACATCGAACAAAATTTAAAATTATTACTAAAAGTGATTGCTTCTTTGATCATTTAAAAATTTTCATAATCTTGGTCATGCTCTTTTATTACTGATAAAAATGATTATCTATTAATTTTAAATATTTTGCAAAAGTCAGTTGCTTTAGCTGTATATGTTCTAGGATTTCCAGTTATGAAAGAAATTTCTCCAAAATACTATTTATTTTATTTAAGTTCTATTTATATTGCTTCTCTATTTAAATTTTAACCAGACTCAAAAATGATAGAAACACTTCCTTTAACTATGTAATAAAGTGAGCAATCATCTATGTCCCCTTGAGTGAATATAATTTCTGAAGGTGAATATAGTTGCTCTTCCATTATCTTTGCTACTTTATCCTTCTCTTTAAAATACTTGAATAACGGAATGTTACTTAAGTATTTTCCTTAAATTTCTAAATTGAGGTCATTTCTTAATTTAGCTGATAGTTTTTCTATTATTAGTTTTTCTTGTTTCCTTTAAATCTCGTTTGATTCCTAAATTTTTTTAAAAAAAACTGTTAAACTATAATTTTGCATTTAATCAGTTTTAATTTAAATTTTATATGTAAAAAAGAAAATTCAAGAAAGCAACTTAAAAGGAAATATTTGATGGTAATTAATAAATAAAATTTAATAATATTAAAATCAAAATAACTTAAACAAATTTTTAAGATGAATAATTTATTTATCTTAATTAAGTCTTGTAAAAAAATAAAGGAAAATGATGGATGATATTTAATTTAATACTTTATAAAGATATTTTATGTAATCAGATATTTTTATCTTAAGATTTCTTGAAACTTCTTCTTCCCTCATTAATGCATGAATTATTTACAAATTTTCTTTGTATTTTTTGTCCTTCTTTTCTATATTTTCTATGATTGCACCAATTGTATTTAAGCTAAAAGCATAAACAATGCATGTAACAAAAATTGTGACTGTTGTAAATAAAACCTCAAATTAATTTTAAGGAGAGATGTCTCCATATCCTACAGTTGCCATAGTAACAGCTAAAAAGTAGAAGGAATAAATATATCTTTCTTAGATAGATGCATTAAGTAGATTTTTACTTTCCAACCAATTATTTGTTATTCCATTATTAATTTCAAACATTACTAGCCCATGCCAAAACAAACAGAAAATATGACAAATTCCTATCACAAAAATTAGAAGCTTTAAAAGATCGAAAATATTTTTATGATCTTTTTCGTAAGATACATAAAATGCAATCTGTTTTAATACATCTGAAACCTTATTCCACTTAAACGCATAAAAAATATTGACTAAAATTCTCATTGTAGTAGAAACTTCTACTTTGGATATATAAAAAAAGAGAGGTATATTTCCTATTAAACTAAAAAAAAGCCTATTTTTAATGTACGACTTGATAATAAAGTTTCTTTCAGTGATAATATTTCCTTTTTTAAGAACTCCTGTGTTAAATCCGACTAAAATATCAATTATAGAGACAATAAATATGACTTAAAACAATAACTAGAAGTTAGAAATATTCATACCAAAAAAAAGTTCTAAATTTAATAGAAAAGTAGAGAATATAATTAGCAATGATTATAAAGTATCCCAAGCTTTGATTAAATTATTTTAAGGAGTAAATACATATTTATCTAACTTATGAATTAAATCAATAAGAAAATATAAAGAGTTGTTAAAGATATTGAATTTATTGTTACCCTTTTTTAAATTAAAATTTTTTGTATATGAGCTTGATATATCACTTATTAAATAGTGTTAATGCTAGGTAAGCTTATTGAAAATTCTAGAGTTCATAGAGAGTATTCTAAAGAAATGTTATATATTTACTAAAAGTTTAAGAATATTCATGAGTTTACTTGTCTACTCATTTTTATATGCTAAGTCCTTTATATTAACATCAGTATTTATAATTACCAATTTTTATGTTTGTAATTTCTTTAAAGTCTACTTTTAAAAGTACTTAATAGAATTTTCTTATTACTACAAAACACTATGGTACTATTGCCTTTATGCTTCATCTATTGCTTATAAAATTGTGTTATCTTGCGTGTTTTCTTAAATTTTTTCCTCGTTATTTGCAGATAAATCTCTTCTACTTGTTTAAGAATAGCTCACTGATTGTACTTCAGAGTCTCTTTATTTGTATGGAAATGCTTAAAAGAATTTATGATCCTTTATAGAATAAAAATATTAAAATCAAGTTTGGAATTATTTATGAAAATTTACCTCTTCATTAAGCAAAATATTTTCTCTATAATTCAAATTATTTAAGTAAGAGACTCCTCTATCTTAAGACATATTCCACTTAAATATTAAAAATAAATCTTTGGTTTTTTTAATTTATTAGTTTTAGTAATAACTTTAAATTTATTATTTTCTTTTATTATTTATATCTTATGATTGAGTCTCTTTTACTAATTTAATAAATAAATAAATACATAGATAATAGCTAGCTATTCTATTTTTTTATTCACTTTAAAATTTTATTTTTAATTAAATTATGCTATTTTCTTATGTAAGTTATTAGTAACTAAAAAAAGGTTTCTTTATATTTAGCTCAGCAATTAATTTATAATTTTTTAAATTTAATTCTTATATTTTAGGTTGATTTGTTGACTTGATTAAAGATATTTTTCAGTTTCTTATTTATTATTCCTTCATTTACTTTATTTTTAAAGAAATTAATTATTTCTCTTAATATAGGTATCCTTCATATACTTTTTCTTATTTTATCTAAAAGTTTTCAAGCTTTTATTTTAGATTCTTAAGAATAGTTTAGATTTTTAATAATTTCAAAACCTTTAATTCTTATTATTTGATGTAAAGTCATTTGATCTACCGTCTTCCCTCCTTTAAAAGATGTCTTCTAATAAAAAAAAATGCTTCAATCGATACCTTTTTTAAAAGATTATTATTATTTTTAAATGATAAATTAAAATTATTTTTTTTCAAATTAAATTACATAGTGTGTTCCTTCTTTTTATTAAGGTGGAAGAAAAGAAAAGAATATTAAAAATCTTTAAAGAGGATTGAATATGTAATCCAATCAATTATTGACTTTTTAAATAATATTTGTATCTATTATTTATTTTATCATGCATTTATTGATTAAATTAAACTAAATTTGATTTTTATTTATTTATTAGAAATTTGATATTTAAAAAAATAAAAAAATAAATTTATATTATAAACAAACATACTTAATCTAAGAAGTAAAATAATAAGATTTTAGAATAGTTTATAAGTTTTTTAGATGTTTTAATTTTTTGTGATGCCTAACTAATTGATACTTATATCATTTAAAATTAAGTTAAAATTGGATTTATTTTCTAGTTTTTTATTTTTTTGTTTTTAATGTATTAAAAATGTTTTTTTATATTGATGATTAGTATAAAACCCATTTTTAAACAATTTCTGTATAGTTAAAGTGAGGTTAATAATACTTATATATTTTAGCCTTATCAAAAATTTATAGCATCAAATAATTAACTTAATCTGAAGATTCAGTAACATCATACATCTTTTTATCACTTTATAAAACTCCAATTAAGTTATGCTTTGAAAATTGTCCAGAGCTTAATGAATTAGTACCCTAAGTAGCTTTTTATTCATTTTAAAAACTGAGTTAATTTTAGCTATTTTTAAGAGAAAGTTAGGGAAGATATATTAAGCTATTATTTGAAGACCGCTACTGAAATTACTTTAATGTTAAAGGTTCAGCAGATATTTGGAAATTGCTAATTTTAGTCATTTATCCTTCTGTTATTTTAGAGGTATTGTATTAAATTGCATTTTAATTATTTTCTAACTGATTAGGTTCTTTTGCTAGAAAAATTAAATTCGTTGCTCTATCATTTTATTATGAATTATTATTTTTTTGCTTATCATTATACCTATTATATTGTAATTGCTAATCATTTACATCACTATTTAAAATTATGTTTTTTGAACTGTTATTGATTAATTTACTTGTATTATTTTTATTTGATTATCTTCTCTAAGAAATTTAAGAATACCTTTTTTGCATCAACAACTCTTCTTTTTATTCAAATGCAATTTAATTTTAGTTTTACTTGTCTTCTAAAGAATTTGGTGTTAAAAAGCTTTTTTTCTGTTTAGAATTATTTTCTATTTTATTTTCTATGCTTAAACTTGAATCAATTGAATTAGTTTTTTCATTTTAAGAAGTTAATGATGATATTGAAGACTAAGATTATGGTTATAATTCATCGTTATTCGTTGATGAATTTTATTTAATATCTATTAGCTCCTATTTTTAAAGCTCTTAAATAAATTGTTAGTTTTGGCTGGCTGAATAAAGGAATGATTTTTTTGTTTATTTTTATGCCTAATTGTTTTGATCGAAAGTGAGTTGTAAATTGTTTTATTAATTTAAATAACTTTTACTCTATCTTTTTAAATAATCAATAGTTCTTTCTTGTTGGCTTTCTATTGATTTTTAAGCCTTTCTTATAGTTTCTAATTAACTTCCAAAATTCTCATTTTTTGTGGTAATTAAATTTGAAGATAGAGTATTATTTCTTAAACGTATTCCTCTTTCTGATCCTAATTGAATTTCTTATTTACAATTAGCATCATTTTCTATTTGGTCTTAATAATAAGATCCGTTTTCTATAAAATCAATTATTTCAGATAAGGATTCAACATTATTAATTTGCAAAACAGCCTATTAAAGTTACCTATTTAAATATATTTAATATTTTTTTAAATATCATAATGATTGCATTTTTTTTGTTAATTAGATAAACAATTTCAATATTTTTTAAAATATCATAATGATTGCATTTTTTTTGTTAATTAAATAAACAATTTCAATTCGAAATTTAAATAATATTGATTTAATTACATTTTTTTTTGTATGTAATTTTTCTTAGTATTTTTCCTGTTACATGAAGCTCTTTCTTATGGTGAACTACTATTATATCTAGAAATAATAATTTATTTAGTAAATGTTAAATGAGTGCGGGGACAGTGCATAGAAAAATGTTTTCCAGATTGACATGTCGAGCAAAACATAGAACAAAATTTAAAATTATTACTAAAAGTGACTGCTTCTTTGATCATTTAAAAATTTTCATAATCTTGATCATGCTATTTTATTACTGATAAAAACTGTTCTCTATTAATTTTAAATATTTTGCAGAAGTCAGTTGCTTTAGCAGTATATGTTCTAGGATTTCCAGTTATGAAAGAAATTTCTCCAAAATATTATTTATTCTCTTTAAATTCTATTTATTTTGCTTCTCTATTTGAATTTTAACCAGATTCAAAAACGATAGAAACACTTCCTTTAACTATGTAATAAAGAGAGCAATCATCTATGTCTCCTTAAGTGAATATAATTTCTGAAGGGGAATATAGTTACTCTTCCATTATCTTTGCTACTTTATCTTTCTCTTTAATACATTTGAATAACGGAATGTTACTTAAGTATTTTCCTTAAATTTCTAAATTGAGGTCATTTCTTAACTTAGTGGAAAGTTTTTCTATTATTAGCTTTTCTTATTTCCTCTAAATTTCATTTGATTCCTAAATTTTTTTAAATAAGCTATTAATCTATTGTCTTGCATTTAATAAACTTCAATTAAAATGTAAAAAAGAAAATTCAAGAAATCAACTTATATAAAGGATTTATTTGATGAAAAAAACCTGTAAGAATTAATATATAAGATTTTATGATCTTTAAATCAAAGTAATTTGAATAAATTTTATGAGATGAGTTAGTTAGTTATTTATTTATCAACCTTAACTAAGTCTGATAGAAATTAAAGGAAAAATGGTTATATTAAATTTAATACTTTATAAAGATATTCTATATAGTCAGATATTTTTATCTTAAGATTTCTTGAAACTTCTTCTTCCCTCATTAATGCATGAATTATTTACAAATTTTCTTTGTATTTTTTGTCCTTTTTTTCTATATTTTCTATAATTGCGCCAATTGTATTCAAGCTAAAAGCGTAAACTATGCATGTGACAAAAATTGTGACTGTTGTAAATAAAACCTCAAATTTATTTTATGGAGAGATATCTCCATATCCTACAGTTGCCATAGTAACAGCTAAAAAGTAAAAAGAGTAAATATACCTATCTTAGATAGATGCATCAAGTAGGCTTTTACTTTCCAACCAATTATTTGTTATCCCATTATTAATTTCAAACATCACTAGTCCATGCCAAAATAAACAGAAAATATGGCAAATTCCTACCACAAAAATTAGAAGCTTCAAAAGATCGAAGATATTTTTATGATCTTTTTCATAACATACATAAAATGCAACTTATTTTAATACATCTGAAACCTTTATCCACTTAAAAGCATAAAAAATATTGATTAATACTCTCATAGAAGTAGAAACTTCTACTTTTGAAATATAAAAAAAGAGAGGTATATTTCCTATTAAAATAAAAAAAAACCTATTCTTAATAAACGACTTGATAATGAAGTTTCTTTCCATGATAATATTTCCTTTTTTAAGAACTCCTGTGTTAAATCCTACAAAAATATCGATTATAGAGATAATAAATATGACTTAAAATAACAACTAGAAGCTAGATATATTCATGGCAAAGAAAAGCTCTAAATTTAATAAAAAAGTAGAGAATATAATTAGCAATGATTGAAGAATATCCCAAGCTTTGATTAAATTACTTTAAGGAGTAAATACATATTTATCTAACTTATGAATTAACTCAATAAGAAAATATAAAGAGTTGTTGAAGAGATTGAATTTTTTGTAACCCTTTTTTAACTTTGAATTTTTCGTATAAGAACTTGATATATCACTTATTAAATAATGTTAATGCTAGGTAAGTTTATTGAAAATTCTAGAGTTCATAGAGAGTATTCTAAAGAAATGTTAAATATTTACTAAAAGTTTAAGAATATTCATGAGTTTACTTGTCTGCTCTTTTTTATATACTAAATCCTTTATGTTAGTATCAGTATTTAGAATGATCAATTTTTAGCTTTGTAAAATTTTTTAACTCTACTTTTAAAAGTTCTTATTTTAACTTTTATCTACTTATTACTATAAAATATTTTGGCATTTTTGCCTTTCTGCTTCATCTAATGCTTGTAAAATTGTGTTATCTTGCGTATTTTCTTAATTTTTTTCCTCATTATTAGCAGATAAGTCTCTCCTACTTGTTTAATAATAGCTTATTGATTGTACTTCACAGTCTCTTTATTTATAAGGAAACGCTTAAAACAATTTATGATCCTTTTTTGAATAAAAAATATTATAAGCTAATTTGGAATTTATGAAAATTTACCTCTTCATTAATTAAAATATTTTCTCTATAATTGAAATTATTTAAGTAAGAGACTTCTCTATCTTAAGACATTTTCTTTCTTTTTAAATATTAAAAATCTTTGGTTTTTTTTTTTTAATTTGTTATTTTAAGTAATTACTTTAAATTAATTATTTTTTTTTTATTATTATATATTCTATCAATCAATATATTTCATTTAATTTAATACATAAATAAATCACTAATCTCTGTTTTTATTTATCTTCTTTTTAATTTAAATTTTTATATTTAATTAAAATATTTCAAATATACTGTTGACCTTCTATAATTAACAACTAGTAAAAATTAGCACTCTTTTTGAAAAATAATAAGTGTTTCTCTTGAAAATTATTTGGTAGGTAACATTAATGAGAAAAAATTTTAAATTGATTAATTACATTACATTATTTTATTTTTAAAAGTTTGAAATATTTTTTATTTTTTTGAGTTAGATTTTATTTAATTTTTTCAATAATTATAACCATTTTAATTAATGTTATTATATTAACTAAATAAAGTTTATAATTATTAATAAATATTTATATAATACTAAAAAAATGTAAATATAATCAATAAGTATAATAGTTTTTCTCTATATATATAGTATAAGAGGTTTTATTTCTTATATATTTACTATATTCTATAAATTTATATTTAATTCATCATTTCTTAATCTTTTTTTCTCTGTATAATAATCCATAGTTTGCGATCTTAGCATGTTATAATAATTATATATTTTTTATTATTTAATCAGCTATATTTAATTCATTTCTATCTATTTTCTCATTTTACAACTAATTAAAAATAATTTATTTTTATCTGTTTTTAAAAAATAAATTTTAAAAAATTTATGACAGCAATATTAATTATTTGATTTTAAATAGTACTCTCGAAATTCCAAATTCTTTTTTTTATGTGTATTCCTTAAATTTATTTGTTTAGGATTTTAACTAAACATGAAAAAAACAATTTTATTTAAAAAATGTTATCAATTTAATAAATAAAATAACAATAAATTTGATAAGTTTATCAGCTTTTAACTAATTTAATTTACTGATGAATGAATCATATTTTTTATTATTTATGCTAAGATTAGATTACCATTCTATTTGTTTTTTATCTTTTTCTTTTTTATGTAAATATATAGTCTTTTTATATTTATGATTAATATAAAACCCATTTTTTAACAACTTCAGTGTAGTTAAAATGAGGCCAATAATACTTATATAACTTAGCTTTATCAAAAATTTATAGCATCATATAGTTCACTTAATCTGAAGATTCAATCATTTCATAAAATTTTTTGTCACTTTTTTAAATAACTCCAATTAAGTTTTATTTTGAAAACTAACCAGAGCTCATTGAATTAGTACCATTAATAGTTTTTGACATATTTTATTAACTGAATTAATTTTAGCTATTTTTAGGAGAAAGTTAAGAGATGTAAATTAAGCTATAATCTGAAGAGAGCTATTAAAGTTACTTTAAAGTTAAGGATTCAACATTTATTTAGCGATTATTAAATTTATTAATTTATCCTTCTGTTATTTTAGAAGTATTGTATTAAATTGCATTTAAATTATCTAACTAACTATATTCTTTTGTATTTCCTCGAATCATTAAACTCATGATTCTTTCATTTAATTATTAATTAATACTTTTTTGCTTATCAATATGTTTAATATTTTGTAATGGTTAATCATTTCCATCACTATTTAAAATGATATGCTTTTAACTGTTGTTATTGATTATTTTATTTGTATTCATATAATTTGAATACCTTCTCTAAGATATTTAAGAGAATCTTTTCTATAACAAATTCTCATCTTTTTGCTCAAATACATTTTAATTTTTGTTTTGCTTTTCATCTAGAGAACCAGTGATTAAAACACTTTTTTTAGCTTTAGAATTATTTTCTATTTTATTTTCAATGTTTTAATTAACTTTAGAATTATTTTCTATTTTGTTTTCAATGATTTTACTAGAATCTATTGAACTATTATCATCATTTTAAGAAGATAATGAAGACTAAGATTATATTTACATTTAAGAATTACTAATTTAAGTATTTTAATTTATGTCTAATTATTAAAATTTTAAAGGCTCTTAAATCAACTATTAGTTTTGGCTAGCTGAAAAGAGGAATGACTTTTTTGGTTGTTTTTATATCTAATTGTTTTGATCGAAATTTAATTGTTGATTATTATTTTATAAATTTACTATACTTTGGCGACTTATACTTTATCTTTTTAACTAATCCATAGTTTTTTCTAGTTAGTTTTCTATTGAATTTTAATGCTTTCTTATAGTATCTAATTAACTTCCAAAATTATCATTTTTTATATTAATTTAATTTGAAGATAGAGTATTATTTCTTAAACGTATTCCTCTTTCTGATCCTAATTGAATTTCCTATTTATAATTAACATCATTTTCATTTTGGTCTTAATAATAGGATCCATTTTCTATTAGATCGATTAATTCAGATAAGGACTCAACATTATTAATTTATAATACAGCTTATTAAAGCTACCTTTAAGTTAATAATAAAAATCAATTGAATTAGTTTCAAAATAAAATGATAAATTTTATTTAAAATTCAAAAAATATTATTTGTTACATTTAATTTTTAAAATAATTTTTCTTCTTATTTTTCCTTTTGCATGGAGCTCTTTCTTATGGAGAGTGACTATTATATCTCGAAATAATAATTTTTTTAGTAAATGTTAAATGAGTGCGGGGACAGTGCATAGAAAAATGCTTTCCTGATTTACATGTTGAACAAAAGATTGAGCAAAATTAATAATTATTATTAAATGTTATTGCTTCTTTGATCATTTAAAAATTTTCATAATCTTGATCATGCTCTTTTATTACTGATAAAAACTATTATCTATTAATTTTAAATATTTTGCAGAAGTCAGTTGCTTTAGCAGTATATGTTCTAGGATTTCCAGTTATGAATGAAATTTCACCAAAATATTTTCTATTTTCTAAAAGATCAATTTATGTATCTTCCCTATTTGAATTTTAATCACACTCAAAAACAATAGAAACACTTCCTTTAACTATGTAATAAAGAGAGCAATCGTCTATGTCTCCTTAAGTGAATATAATTTCTGAAGGAGAATATAGTTACTCTTCCATTATCTTTGCTACTTTATCTTTCTCTTTAATATATTTGAATAATGGAATGTTACTCAAGTATTTTCCTTAAATTTCTAAATTAAGGTCATTTCTTAATTTAGTGGAGAGTTTTTCAATTATCAGTTTTTATTGTTTCCTCTACATCTCATTTGATTCCTAATATTCATTTAAAAAAAAAGTATTAATCAATTTATTCCAATTAAAAGAATTGAACAGAATATAAAAAAGAAATTAGATTAAGAATTTAATCTTTGATAAAAAGTTAGTTACTGATAAAAATTAAAAAACGCAATTATTAAATTTATTTATATAATTTTTGAGATGATTTATTTTTTTATTTATAACTTGTCTTAACCATATTTAGTAATAAAATAAATAAATTTATTTTAAAAGTGAATACTTACTTTATAGAGATATTCAATATAGTCAGATATTTTTATTTTAAGATTTCTTGAAACTTCTTCTTCCCTCATTAATGCATGAATTATTTACAAATTTTCTTTGTATTTTTTGTCCTTTTTTTCTATATTTTCTATGATTGCGCCAATTGTATTTAAGCTAAAAGCATAAACGATGCATGTGACAAAAATTGTGATTGTTGTAAATAAAACCTCAAATTAATTTTAAGGAGAGATGTCTCCATATCCTACAGTTGCCATAGTAACAGCTAAAAAGTAGAAAGAATAAATGTACCTTTCTTAGATTGAAGCATTAAGTAGATTTTTACTTTCCAACCAATTATTTGTTATCCCACTATTAATTTCAAACATAACTAACCCATGCCAAAACAAACAGAAAATATGACAAATTCCTATCACGAAAATTAGAAGCTTCAAAAGATCGAAGATATTTTTATGATCTTTTTCATAGCATAGATAAAATGCAATCTATTTTAATACATCTGAAACCTTTATCCACTTAAAAGCATAAAAAATATTGACTAATATTCTCATCGAAGTAGAAACTTCTACTTTTGAAATATAAAAAAAGAGAGGTATATTTCCTAATAAATTATATAATAGCTTATCCTTAATATATGACTTTATAATAAAGTTTCTTTCAATAATAATATTTCCTTTTTTAAGAACTCCTGTGTTAAGTCCTACAAAAATATCAGTAAAATATACAACAAGTAATACTTAAAATAACAACTAGAAATCAGATATATTCATACCAAAGAAAAGCTCTAAATTTAATAGAAAAGTGGAAAATATAATTAGCAATGATTGTAGACTATCCCAAGCTTTGATTAAATAACTCTAAGGTGTAAATACACATTTGTTTAATTTATGAATCACTTCAATAAGAAAATAAAAAGAGTTATTAAAGAGACTGAATTATTTACCACCCTTTTTTAGCTTTGAATTTTTGGAGTAAGTGCTTGATATATCACTTATTAAATAGTGCTAATGGTAGGTAAGCTTATTAAAAATTCTTGAATTCATAGAAAGTATTCTAAAGAAATGTTATATATTTACTAAAAGCTTAAGAGTATTCATTAGTTTACTTGGCTACGCTTTTTTATATTCTACTTCTTCTATATTATTAGCAACATTTAAAGTATCTATTTTTTCATTTTATAATTTTTATAAGTCCTAAATTTAACTACCATTTTTTGGCTTTTGAAAATCAAGATTAGAGCATTTATCATCCTTTGTTTATGACATCTTATCATAATTTTATTTTTACGCTTCATTTATTGCATTTAAAATCGTGTTATCTTATATGTATTCTTAAATAATTTCCTCGTTTTTGATAGATAAATCTCTTCTACTTGTTTAGATATAGCTTCCATATTCAACTTCAGAATCTCTTTATTTGTATGGAAACATTTAAAATAATTTGTGATCCTTTTAGAATAATAATTATTGACTTTTAATTTTAAATTTATAAATATTTACCTCTTCATTCAGCATAACATTTTCTCTATAGCTAAAATTATTTTAGTAAGATGCTGCTGTTTTATTTTATGACATTTGTAACTAAATTTCTGTGCTTTATTTTTTAATTTATTACTTAAAGTAATCAATTTTTTATTGTTTTTTATTTAATTACTAATCTTATAGTGAAATTTAATAAACAATAACTACTTTAAAATAAAATGAGATTGTTTTCCAAAAAGGCAAGATTTTAAATTAAAAATAAATTTCATGATTTCTAAATAATAATTTACTGATTTTTTAGAATTTATACTAATTAATCAATTAATGCTAAGAAACTATATAATAATAATTATCCAAAATTGAGTTAAATCTGGCCATTAAAATATATTAAAATTTATTAATTTATTTAATAATTAGGAAAAAAAGTTTATTTATTAGCTTTGAAAAGATATTTTTTTAAAAAGGAATATTTAAAAATTTAATAAATCATATTTTAATTTTCTCATTTAATATCTCTAAAATGTATTCATTAACACCCAAAATCTCAAAAATAACTTTATTTTTCATAAATATTTTGGAGTTAATTAAACTTGACCTTAATTTAAGAGAAATTAATTACATTAATTAAAAATTTCTTTTTGAAATAATTTAAATTTTACATACAAATTTTCAATAAAACATAAAAAAATATTATTTATTTTTTGAATTAATTTTTATAATTTTAAATATTTATTTTTTAAGATTAAGGTCAGTTAAGTTTAAAAATAGAAATTTTCATTTTATTTAATTTTAACATCTTTTCTTTTTATTTGATATACTTTAAGCATGAGGTCTTTTAAGTTAATGTTAGTCCAATTTTTTAATTATTTCTGGATAATTATAATGAGGCAAATAATACTTAAATATTTTTGCTTTATCAAAAATTTAAAGCATTTAATAGCTAACTTAATCTGCAAATTCATTTATTTCGTCGTTAGTTTTGGTGGTTTTTTCGTTAGTTTGATTTTCCCCTAAATTATTTTATTTTGAAATAAAAGTTGTCTAACTTCCTGTGCTATTTGAATTCTAGAAGCTTATTTATTTTTTCATGTAATTTTTTTGAGGAAATTGTTATTAGAGTTATTTTAAGGAATCTATTTTGATTTGAATACTATTTTTCTTAGGTATATCTAATAATGGATTGTTTAGATTATAATTATTTAAATTTAAAATATTTTCTTATTGCAAAATTTAACTTCTACCTCTTTAGACCCTAAGAGCTTCAAAATTAATAGGATTATTATCATTATTCTTATTTTTTTCATTGTTATTATTAGAATTTTGTTCATTTAACTGATTTAAATCACTTTATTCTTCACCATTTGATAAATTACTATTCATCTTTTATTTTTATAAATAAATAATTTTTGATTCTTTTCTTAAATCTCTTTAAGAGCCCTTGATTAAAAATGTTTATTACTAATTCACTAATTCTTAAATTATTTATTTCTATTCATTTTCTATTTAATCTGGCACTAAAAAGCTTTTCTTAACTTAAATATTTTGCATTTTATTTGCCTTTTATTTTTGATGAGAATAAATTGTACTATTATCACCATCTCCTTCTTCAGAAGATGATGAAGATGATGATATTTATAATGAGTTAGTATAAGAACTTTAATTTTTTTGTTAATTTCGATCTTAATATGAATCTATTTATAGTTATTAATTAGACTATACTAGAAACGATTTTTTTACTTTTTTATTCGCTTAACTTATTTGCTCAATATTTTTTTACAAATTATTTAAGTTCTACTACTCAAATATGCTTAGTCTTTTAATTATCTCGTTAGATTTATCTTGTTGCTATTCAATGCCTTATATTTTTTTTTGAGAATCAAAATTATTTGTTGAGTTTTTACTTTAAATAGAATTTTAATTAATATAAATGTTATTATTTTGATATTAAGTTGTTTTTTTTTCATAATCATTTTATAATTATAGCTAAAATAGAATTTCAGCTTCTTTTTGATCAAAATTATTGCATCCATTTTCTATTGAATCTAGAATATCGAATAAAGACTCACGATTATTAATTTCATAAACATACTTATGGAGTTATCTTATATTTAATTAAATTTATTTTTTTTTAAATTATAAAATCAAATAGAATTAATAATAAAAATATTTTTTAAAAATAATATTTAAATAATTACTAAATTTTTTTGAAGTAGTTCAGCCTAATTTTTCTCCTAGCGAATGGTACCCGTATTTGTGGAGAATAGCTATTATATCTAGAAATGATAATTTATTTAGTGAATGTCAAATGAGTTTTTGGGCAATCAGCAGAAAAATGGTTTCCTTGTTTACATGTTGAGCAAAAGATTGAACAAAATTTGAAATTATTATTAAGAGTTATGGCTTCTTTTATCATTTGAAAATTTTCAAAATCTTGATCACGCTCTTTTATTACTGATAAAAACTTTTCTCTGTTAATTTTATAAATTCTACAAAAATCTGCAGCCTTAGCAGTAAATATTCTTTTGCTCCCCGTTATAAATGAAATTTCTCCAAAATATTACTTTTTCTCCATTAACTCAATTTATTTCGCTTCATTATTTGAATTTTAGTCAGGTTCAAAAATAAGAGAAACGCTTCCCTTTACTATATAGTAAAGTGAGCAGTCATCTATGTCTCCTTAAGTGAATATAGTTTCAGCAGGCGAATATAGTTGTTCTTCCATGATCCTCGCAATTTTATCTTTCTCTTTGATAGATTTGAATAAAGGAATTTAATTCAAATATTTCCCTTAAATTTCTAAAGTAAGGTCATTTCTTAATTTAGTAGAAAGTTTTTCTATAATGAGCTTTTCTTACTTCTTCTAAATTTAATTTGATTCCTAAAATTAGTAATAAACAAATGTAATAAATAAATAAACAATCTCTAATTGATCAATAAAATTTTTTAATTTCAACGCAATTAATTAATTATTTATTTAAAGTTGTAATTTAGAAAGATCTAGATATGAATTTGAAATTTTATTTTTGCAATTTAAAGCATAAATTAATTCAAGCATTTTGATTACTATTTTCTTATTTAATTTATGATCTGTAAAATTTAAATATCTATTTTGTTAAGCATCATTATAAATTTGATTATTGGGTTTGTTTAAAATTTTTATAATTGCATTTGAAAATTGTTAAAAATGAAATTATGAGATAAAAAATTAGGTTTTCCTAATGAGTTTTGCTTACTTTGTAAAGGTACTATAGATAGTTTGAAATTTGTATCTTAAGATGACTAGATACTTCTTCTTCTCTCATTAAGCTATGAATTATCTGCATATTTTCTTTATATGTTTTGTCTCTTTTTTCTAAATTCTCAATTATTCCACCTATTGTATTTAAGCTAAATGCATATACAACACAAGTAACAAAAATTGTAATTGTACAAAATAAAACTTCATATTTATTTTAAGGAGTGACATCTCCATAACCTACTGTTGCCATAGTAACAGCTAGAAAATAGAATGAATAAATATATCTCTCTTAAATTGTAGCGTCAAGGAGATTTTTACTTGCCAGCCAGTTATTTGTTACTCCATTACTCACTTCAAACATGACTAATCCATGCCAAAATAGGCAGAAGAAATGGCAAATCCCAATAACAAATATGAGAAGTTTTAATAAATCGAATATGTTTTTATAGTTTTTTTCATAGCTTATATAATAAGAGAATTGCTTAAGCACTTTTGATATTTTTTTCCATTTAAAAGTGTACAAAATGTTGCTAACTAATTTCATAGTATTATTTAATTCTCCTTGTGTTATATAAAAAAAGAGAGGAATGTTGCCAATAAAGTCATGTAAAAACGCTTTTTTCAAATATGATTTCAATATAAAGCCCCTATCATATATAATATTTCCTTACTTAAGCACTCCTGTGTTTAGCTCAACAAATACATCAAGAACAGACATGACAAATAATACCTAAAATAAAAATTAGTAGTTTGAGATATCCATCTAAAAGAAAAGTTCTAAATTTAGAAGGAAAGTAGAATATATGATTAGGAAAGATTGTAAGCTATGCCAAGCTTTAATCAACAAATCAGAAGGAGCAAATACTTAAATATTTAGAGTCTAAATGAATTTGAAAGCAAAATATTAAAAATTGTTTAAGATAATTAACATTTTATTTCCATTTTTTAGTTGAACATTTTTAGAATAAATAGAAGCGACATCTCCAATAAGATAATGCTAATTATATGTAAGCTTATTAAAAATTCTAGAGTTCATAGAAAGGATCCTAAAGAAATGCTATATGTTGACTAATAACTTAAGAACTTTCATCAACCTTACAGGCTAATTTTTTCCGTATTATCCATTTTCGAGATTCATAGCTGTATTTGATATATCTTAATTCATATTTCTTGAATAATTCAGAGAATGCATGAATTGGCTATCTTTAGGTATGGGTTTTTATAAATTACTATTGTTTTACTATGGTTAAAAAGATACTTAGCGAAATCTAGATGTCTATGCTTAATTTAGAGCTTATAATATAGTTAAATTTAAAGTATTTGATTAAGTTTATTCATCACATCTTGCAGATAAATCTCTTCTACTTACTTCAAACAGGCTACCAGATTCTACTTCAGAGTCGCTTTATTTAAATGGAAGCTTTTAAAATAGCTAGTGATCCTTTTCAATAAAAAAAAAATCATAAATTTTATAAATAAATAAAAAATATTTCTACCATTTGGTTTATAAGAAAGTTATTGCGATATTTTTAGTTATTTTTATAAGTAATCGTATCTTTTTAGGACATCTTTGTTTGCCTTTCTAATTAAAAATTACTTTTGTGTTTAATCTATTTTTTGAAGGTTTTTTATTTGATAAGTAATTTATTAAATTTATGACTTTTTTTGTTAATCAAAAGTAAAGAGTATCTATTTATTACCCAAGGCACATCTTATGCCTTCAATTATTTATAAATTAAATTCATTATATTAGCTTTAACTATTAAAATTTATCAAACATTAATGCCCTTTATTATCTTTTATCATAAACTAATAAATAGCCAAAATCAATCAAACACAATAAATTAATAAGCTTTCATAATATATCTGATAATGTAAAAAAAACTCATAAAATATTTCTTTTCTTAAATAATTTTTATTCTTAATTAAAGATAATTTATAGAATAATATTTATCAAAAGTAACCAGTGATTTAAAAAGTAAAATAACTTTTTTTATACAGGTTTAACTTGACATCATGTAACAAATTTTTTATAAGAAGAATAAATAAATATATATTTTTGCTTTTAAAATAAAATAGTTTTAATTAATTTTTCCTTTTTATTTATTTTAGTGAACTTAAATATTAGAGTTACTCACAAAAAAAATAAATTATCAGAATAAAATTATTTATTTATATTCTCTAAATCTAGTGTTTAATACCATCAAAAATATTTACTTTTAATATGAATAAAAACATTTTATTCAAAAAACAATTTTTGGAGAATAGTAATGCTAATAAATAGCCAACTTAAATTAAATATAAGACTAACGTTTTATAAATAAATAAATAAATAAATAATCATTTGTTAGAATAGGATTATAGATTAATAGGGAATTTAATACCATTTTACATTTTTACTCCGTATGAGAGATAAGTTGGTTTGTATAGATTTATGTCGTAATCTTATGGGATAATCTTAATCAAGTTAGGGCTTCCAATTAAAGTTGAAAGCCTTAAATTGTTAGTCAATCCTATATTTTGACGACGATGCCTTCCTGCTAATTTGTTTTTCTTTTATCTCTTTTGTTCATGCTAAATTTTCTTTTGCTTTAATATCACTTTTTGGAAGTTATTATGAGGAAAATATTTTTTAAATGACTAGATTTTATCAAATTAATCCATATTGTTTAATAGAGGAGAAGATTCTGCTTTGAATTGACTCCTACTATTTGTTAACTACAGAAGTAAAGGTAAATTTGTTTTCTAGATCATTTTAGAAAGCTATTTTATGAATTCAACTTCAGTTGTGGGATTGTTGTTATTTTGGTTTTTTTATTAATTTTGCTAACTTTCTTATTTATTGCGATGTAAACTTTATCTTTAATCTTTTGAATTTGAGTTATAAAATAGAATTTAACTCTAAATAGATTTTTGGCTTTGCATTTTTTCTTTGTTGTCCTTAATAGATTTTTCAGATTTATTTTAATATTTTTCAAACATATCTTGTAAAAAAGAAGATCTATTCGAATTATTATATTTTTATAATAAATTTTTTTAATCACCAATTAAGCCATTGGCAATAAAGTTTTGCAATAATATTTAGTCTACTGAGCATCGGAATTCTCTTTGGCTTTAATTTAATAATTTTAAACTTTTTTATGATAACGTCTGTCTAGATTTAGACTACTTACTATATGGCTTAATTGAAGAATCAGCAAAGTTCAGTTGTTAAATTTAGCTGTCCTATTTTTAAATTTAATTTTGATCATCAGTTTATTATTAATAAAGTTTGTTAGCATGCTAACCTGATTTCAGTTATTTAAATTCTGAATCAGTTTACGGCACATTTAAAAAACTAACAGTTGGCTAAATTGATTTTTATTTTGCTAAGCTTTCCTCTTCTTCTTCTTAGTTTTTTTATTAATTATAAATTTCAAAGTTTTAGTTTAAATAATCTAAGTCACTTTTATATATCATTTTATGTTCATTAATTTATGCGTTTTTAGTAGATATTGTATTTAAAGAAGATTCTTACTTGATGCTGTTATTATTAATATTTTCTATTGCATCGAAAGATTAAGTTTTAGTATAGGCACATTATGTATTAGAAGCAGCTCTTTTTTATTCAGTACTTTCTTAATTGTGTAAAGATTTATTACTGTGGCACTGATTTTCTAAATTAGCTAAAGATTCATTTCCATAGCTAGTTTGCTGATAGAAATTATTTGCTTTTATTATACTTTTTAATAGCTTCTCTGTTTTTTTTCTTAAAAAAGCTTTTGAAAAATTTTTTGAGTGAGTGCTTTATTCATCAAAATAAAATTTTGATTCAAATAAACTTTAGTCTTCTTCATCTTCATCTTCGTCGTCATTGAGAAACTTTGATTCTGAATTTTCAGAAGTTAGAAAATTTTCATTTGTTTCAAATAACAAATAGCATTAATCATTCTATTATTTTAAATTCTATTTTAAAGAATTAAATATTTCTTTATTTTTTTTAATTTAGTACCTAATTTATTTTTTAACATTTTATTTATTTATTTTTAAATTAAATTAAATTTACTTATCAAGCAATTTTAATTTTTTGTTCTTTCTCTCAATTTAAACTCTTTCTTAAAAAATAGAATAATTTTGTTTTAGGACAGTTAGCTATTGATCTTTGATTCTGTGAGTTTTAGGGCATTAATTAGCTATGTGACCAATGTTTTTACAGCTATAGCACTCTGTATAAATAACTGATAAATCATTTTAAAAAATTATCTAATCTTACATCATTTTGAATCTCTCAAAATCTTCAATATTTTCTTTTAATATTTCGATAAATTTAATTCTACTTATTTTGTAGATAGTAGATAAATTCACACTTCTCGCTGATGCTTGCCTTTTGAGACCAGAAAAAAATGATAGCTCACCAAATATTTAGCCATCTCCTAAAACTTTGATTACACTTACTCTGTTTTGATTATAAATTTGTTGTTAGTAAATTTCGATAGTCCCATTTTATATGAAGTAAATAGCTTAATCATCATACTCTTTTTCTCTTACAATCACCTCGTTAGGATTTACTAGAACTTCTTCCATAATAAATATTACTTTACTCAAAGTCGCCTGCGAAAAATTTGAGCCTAACAAAAAATAAGTATTGAGAATTTTAGAATTTATTTCTATAGTAATTTCTTCTCTCAGCTTATTAGAAAGCACAGATAATATTTAATCTTCTGCTTTTTTATCTCGATCCCCTTGCTCATGAGCTAAGAATGATAAATAATGCCTCACTCTGCTTTTAAGTTATATATTCACATCTTTCCTTATTAAATATCTAAAATTATTATTAAAAATTAAATAGTTGTTTTACAAATAAAATAAAATACCTTTATATTATAGTTATATCATCATTTAGCTGCTTTGATGTTTTTTCTATTTCTTGTAGAATAAAACCAATATTGTTAATTGAATAAGCGAATACACAACTAAAGAAAAGCATTGCCACAGAAATATAAAGAGCTTCTATGTAATTTGTTGCAGCAATATCTCCATATCCAACTAAATAAAGGTAAAAAAATATTATATATAATAAGATAAAAAAAATATTAACAAAATAAAAAACCTGTAGTCATTGTTGTGATAGACCAGTAAATAGAATAGACATACTTTTCATAATAAGCATGATCTTAGATGCCAAGTTTTACAAGCCAGTTACTATGATTATTTTAATTCTCTTGAATACCTAAAAAATACCAACCTATTGCAGCTTTAACAAAAGAATGTTTAAATTTTGAGTAGCTTTTAATGTGAGTAATTTTTAAAATTAAATAATTACCAATATGGGCTGCTGTCATTACACTTGCAATTTAATTAATAAGCTTTATAATATGTTTTTAATTTTCTGATAAAGTAAAGATATAGTTAAAGCGCTCTTTTTTATGAGAAATTCCATTAACTTTAAGAAAAATTAACATGTTGAATCCATACTTGAATAAATTATCATTTTAATCTTAAACAGATGATTAATTTTGATAGATAACTTTAGAACTTAGAGTTAATAAGCTCAGAAAATCAGTTATAAACGTTGTTGAAAAAAAATATTACTTAAAAATCTGTTTGCGTTTTATGATTATGTTATCTTTGCTAAATAAGGCTGTGTTTAAATTGATTATGATATCAGCTAAAAACATAATAAATGAAAAACTATAAAATTTTAAAACAAAATCAGAGTGAAAATCGTTTTGATCAAAGAATATAAGAAGGGAATATATGTAAAGAAATGAATAAGTGAAAATAACTTAAATCATATCCCAAAGTACTCTCAGTACATTAGTAGGCATGAATATTGGAACCATTTTTTTTAGCCTTAATAAGCAGTTAAATATCAATAAAGTTGAGTAGTTGTGAACTTATTTGTCATTTTTTTGATAATAATAACTCTAGTCGTTTATAATTTTAAATTCATTCTCCTTTAAGTCATCAATCCTTCGATTTAAATGTCTTAGCTTTAACAGATTGACAAAATTTTAAACATGCTATCTTATTTTCATAACCCTACTCATAGAAGAATTTAAAAGTCTATTAACAATATCAGTTGCTTTTTCAAAGTTCTACTTATATTTATATGTGCTATTATTCAGCTATTACCCGATATATTAGCTTTTTAATGCAACAGAAACTTTCGTGCCAAATTTCTTGTAGTTTTTTTCATAAAATATGTCTTCTTAAAGCCAAATTTTATCATTTAAAACTGGTTTTATGCTATTTTATGGTAAAATAATGCTATTGGCTATTTAAGTTTAATTTTCTCTATGATTTCCTAAATATGAAGGACCAAAAGCGCTTTATTTATTCAAATCACAAAGACTTTATTACTCATTAGAATCTATATTAAACAAATATTTCTATTAACTATTTTAATCACATCCTGCCATGATAGCAATCTGATTTTCAGTTTTCTAGCTTTAATAATATTATAATTCTCTCTCATCATTAAGTTCTACATTACATCTAACTTCGTCATTTATATCTCGATTTATTTTAGATGGCTACTTAATGTCATGAATTATGCTTACTTATAATGTTACTTCACCTGATGATTGTGGTTTTAGTTCCAATATAGTACTGCTTGTTCTATCCTAAATGCTGCTTTCTTAAATTTCTGTATCCCCATGATGAGATTAATGTAGCAAATAATTTTATTACTCAAATAAATGTCTCTGCCGTGATCTATCTACTTATATTTCATTTAATTATAAATCCCTTTGTTCATCTATCAAGCTATTTATTAAAAGAGTTGATTGTTTTTAGTCTCCTCTTTCAAAAGTATCTTCAAATTTAGGCTCCATTATTAATTATATTCAAAATTATTAATTCTAATATATTGATTAAGCTTTTTCAGAATTATTTATTTACAGTAAACCTAATTAAGGTCTTTCCATCAAAATAAGTAGTGAAACTTTAATTAAATATTGATGTAAATGAAAACAAACATAAAAGTAGCAGAATTCAATTACAAAAATCTAAATAACAAATAGAAAAAGGCAATATTATTTCCAGTTTTTCAGTTTATATGTCTGTCATTCTATTTTTTGTTTAGTTTTTTTAAACCACTCACTTGATTGTTTTTTTTAAATATATGAAACAAATAAATGTTTAATTGAAAAGAACCACATTTATATACTTGTGATAAGAATGCATTTTAACTGTTTAAAATAAATTAAAAATAAGTTTACTAGTCGTTATTATCAATCATTTCGAATAAAGATTTATTAAAATATAATCAATTATTATTTTTTTAAATATTTCTTGTAATTAAATTAATATTTTTTAAAAAAATATTTTTTTTTGTTTTAAAGTAATTTTTATTTTTTCAAAATATATAAAAGCCCTAATATTAATTTAGACTAAAAAACATTCAAATTTCAAATTAATAAATTTTTGTCTACGTCAAACCTTATCTTCAGATATCAAATATTAAATTCATCTTAAGCAATTTAATTTACCTAAAATTTTGAATGATTTTAGAGATTTGGAGAATGCAAAAAAAAAATAATTAAAAAAAAAAATCTTTATATCAAAATAAACATATTCAGAACATATAAATAAATAACACAAAAGATTTAATACTTTCTCAAAAAAATATTATTTATTAACTAATAAAATCTAGTTTAAAATTAATTATCAATATGAAAAAAACAATTATGGATGATATTCATCAATGATAGATAACAATATACTTTTTAACTAGTCTCTTTATTTTTTTTATTTCTGTATTTACTTATTTCTAATCAACCTCATCAAAATCGTTATACCTATAAATTATTTAATATTTAAAATATTTCTTATAACCTAATTAAAATAATAAATATTAAAAGTTTTTATTTTTTTTAATTTTTTTGAGTTCTTAGAAAAAAAAAACAATAACTTGTTTTTAAATCCTAAAAAATATTTAACTTTATATTAAAAATTAAACTTTATTTTACTAATATTAGAGCAATATCATATTTAAATTAAAGCAATTGTATAAAGCAGAAGCAAAATTACATGCACCAAATCCACCAATGCTATTTTTGCTTTTATTATATTTTAATTTTTAAATATCATTTAATACAAAAATAAATAAATATTAATTACTTAATTAAAATAAAAAATGTTTAGTTTTTTTATATAAATAGAAGTTAAAAATAATAAAATAAATGAATTTATTAATTAAACTAATAATATATTTTTACCCTATATCAATATTTAAGTATTATAGTTTAGAGCATTTTGATAAAGAAGCACCTAGGTTTTAAATACCCTATTACCCAATTTGATTTTTGCTTTTTGATAAAAATATAAAATTTATTTTAAATTTAAAGATAAAAATGTTAATAAATTTAAATAAAAAATAAATAATTTTGTATTCATTTTTTTAATTTATAATAAAAAAATTATCTTAAATTTATAAATTTTTTAAATTAAAAATTAAAAGTAATACTTAATAATCAGAGACAATTAAGAAAGATTTATTAAATTTTCTAAAGCAGAACCTATATCTGAAATTCCTAAAGAACCAATATTATTTTACCTATTAAATACATATTATCATTTATTAAGGATAAATATTAATAATTTGTTTATGAAGATTGCAAAAAAAAGAAAAAATAATATTCCAACTAACATATAAAAGCAACTTTTTACCATAGTAAAAGCTTGATATATGAAAGATTAACCATTTTAGCTAAACCAAGTGCAAAAATTTGAATATATTCATCGCTTAAACTGTTGTTACTTTTTTAAATTAAAATATTATTATGCTAATTATTTTAAAATAAATTAAGCTAAATGAATAAATATAGCTATTTATTTATAGTTGATTTATGAGTAAATTTTAAAGTTTAAAAATGCAAAATATAAAATAAAGTTTTACTGCAAATCAAGACTCAACCTTGTGATGTTTTATATCTTAGCTAAATCTAATCCAAAAGAATATGAACTCTGTATTCCAATTTTACTGGTACTTTAATTTTTTAATAATTTGAATATTGAAAATGAAAATGAAATAAAGAAGTAATTAATATCAAAGTTTCAATAATAAATAATAAATTCATGAATATTAATTTTAATAGACTTTATTTTAAACGAATTCTGCTTTTTTTTAAATTAAATAAAACATTTTAAATCAATTATACAATAGAAAAAGGTCCAAAGTTAACAAATTTTTGCAGTTTGCTAAAGCAGAACATAAATCAGAAGCAGCTTCATCATCAAATTCATTCATTCTTATTAAAATTAGAAATATATCAATTAATTATTCAGAATAATAAAATATAAAGTTTAAATACTGAGGAATGTTAGTTAGTTAGTTAGTTAATCTTCATTCAATTTTAAATAAAAAAATGTTTGAATAATAATAAAAATAATTTGTTTACCCTAACCAAAGCTATAACTTTGAAAGATTAGAGCAATTTGCTAATTTAGTACCTAGAATTTATCCGCCTTAATTTCCAATATTGTTATTTCTATTAATTTTATATTAATTATATTTATTTTTATTAGTTATTTTATAAATTAGAGATATAAATTCAATAATATAATATAATATAATTAGATCAAAAAACTTGGTAGTAATTATAAATACAAATATTGAAATTAATTTACTCAATTTATAATAAATTTATAGAAAATATTTAAGTATTAAAAATTACAGAAGAGATAGATTTATGCATGATGAATTTATACATTTTTCAAAGTCTTAGCATAAATTTAATAGGCCT